CAAATTATTACACAATTTTAAAAAATTCTTAATTTTTCTCTGGCAAAGTCACTTATTAAATCGTCAAAATCAAGCGATCGAAGCAAATCACCTTCAATGCTTGACCTTAAGCTTAACCAATGGAGCGATAGTTGAATATAGAAAAATTGAAAATAATACTTAGTTTTAGGCGAAAGTTTATTTTAAGTTTTTTGAAAAGACGACGGCGTTTCGCCTTTGTCTACAAAAACAAATGTGTGTGTTTCTTTATGATCTGTGCGAAAAGTGATGAACTATTATTACTATTAAAGATTAAAGAACTATTATTTTTATTAAAAATTTGGCAAGATAGGCTAGTCTTGACAGTTACATTATATATAATAATATGCGGTACTTAAAGGTACACTAATTTAATTCATTATTAATTAGACCTAAGAAACATATTAGAAATGTTTTAATTGACTTATAAATCATTTATTGAATGTTTTTAGCGTTCAAATTTCTTGACGAAAATTACACATGGCCATATCATCCTGCTAATCCGATTCCTGAAATATTTAATTCCGATTTGCATGCCAGAAATCTGGTAATAGAACAACTGCTGAAAACTGGTTATCGTCTGAACATTGTGTGTGTGATACAGCTTTATAAAAAAGCTTTGAAGCGAAAAGGAGGAATATGGCTTTTCGGTAAGATATTTAATGTTTCTATTCGCAAGTTATAAGCATAGATTTTAATGTCTGTTTTAGATGTTAAACCGTTTATTGAACCAATGGTTACATCAGTGATCAATAACGGGAAACCAGGACAGCTGAAACAAATTTTTGCAGAGATCGATATGTTTTGCAATCACTTACAAAAGCTAACTTTGCGAGCTTTTCTTATTAGTATATACTCTTTCTTAAAAAAGACTGATTGTTTTAAGTTATTTGAAATATGCGTAGCAAGAGATGTATATAATCAAATTACAAATGGTGATGTGAGTACTGCTTATAATTTTATTGAATTACTGATTACTTGAATTAAATAATTTGATAATATTTAATATATAACCATTCAACATTTATAGGCTTTGGAGCATTTAATCGAAATCAAAACAATTATGCTTCCGTGTGAAATTGAACTTATAATCCTTTATTACTTCTATCAATTGAGGGAAATAAGGAATCTCCCGCCCGGATCTGAGCCTCTTACATTTAACATTACATTACCAGGTAAGTTTTTCGTATTTACTATGGACTTAAGTATATTCCCACATAAAGTTTTTATTCTGTATTATGCAAAATTGAGAAGTGCATATCGCCAAATGCGTTTATCAGAAATGAGAATAAGAAATCTACTATAAAACAATGGTAATTAGTAATAATATACCTAGCCTTATAACGTTTTTATATTAAATGACTGCAAAAAATCGTTCCCGCAATCAACTTTTTACGATCATCAATTTTCAGGTACCAATTTGAACTGTAAATATCTTCCAGTTCTCAACGTGAATAGAAGTGTTAAGCAGATTGTTGAAAATATAAAAAGCGTTGTACAATCTAAATGTTCAATAGAGGCCAAGCAAGTGAATTCCAATGTTGTAGTGATAGAGAAAAATGATCTTATACAGTTCCTCGAAAACGCACAGGGATGTGGTATGTGACAACGTTTTCCCGACAATTATATTTGTAATAAAATTATAATTTGGATAGATTTGTTAAAAAATGTTGGATAATTTTTAATTTAACGTACAAATTTTAGAATAACTTTTGTGTTTGGACCAAGTAATTTAGTGTGAGTGCAGAAAAAATATTAGTTTTATATCGGCAAATTAATATGCAAAATGTTGGTAGGTCTACAGACATAATAGTGATGGTCACAGTTAATCGATTATACTTAGTATTGTAAATAAACAAATAGCATACATTAATCGCATTTTGCGACTACCTTTGATTTCATTTTGGTATTGAAATTTAGTTGTATGTTATTTGAGTGAAAGGATTATTCATTCTTTATACACGTTGTTATGTTTGCAACATAGTTTTAAGTAATCTTTAAAATCACAGCAAATGTTTATGCAACGTTTCTAAAGCCATCATTTCAGGAACTTTGTCAATGTATTTTGAAGCTCCTGTATTTAGCGCCCACAGTCGTAAGCTTAAGCATGGACATAAAAATATTTTTTAAACGCTTATCTAATTAGAATCTCAAGTATTTTTTTAAACATTGCCATATGGGTAAAAAACAGTCATTACTATAAAAGCGAGCATTTTCTAAAATTGTCTCTATTTTGCAAATCCTTTGATCTTTCTTGCATTATTGAGTCAATAAACAAAGGAGCGTTTTAAAAAATACTATTATGTGACGTGTCAACCTCATTTTAATATTGATAAACCACCAATTTATGAATTGGTATTTCTTGTGATATAATAGTTTTCTAAACTTACATGATTTTGTATGAAAATTAATGAGTATTGTTTTTGTTTTTTTATCCATCATTTATTTTCAGCCGGACAATATAACGTTCAACAAGGGATATTGGGTTAAATGGTTAAATTTAAGTTTCTATAGCAAAGTGAAATTCACTAATATTATAAAATAAATTAGGAATATGCGAGTGAAACAAACAAAGCAGAGCCTTTAATATTAGGCCAAGCTGTATAGCATTTTTGCGTGACAAAAAGACTAGTAGCAAACCAATTGTGCGATGATAAAGAAGATAATGAGAATATGAATAGGTATGTGTTTTCCACTAGCATTTCTGGTCCATATGTTAGTTATTAACAATTTCTTGCGAAAAAACTAGTTTTTTGTTTATAACTTTGAAACTAATGGAGCAATCGGAATGCCCCAACGAGATTATTTGTCGAGAATAATAATACCTACAAATTTTCTCATCTTTGCTCGAGCGCCTCAATCAGATAATTAGTTTCTGAGGAATTTAGGAAAAACCGGAATACAGTTGCAATTTATAATGCAATTTCTGGGGAAATGTATCTTAAAGTATTAAATACTGGAATTCAACCCTAAATAAATAATGTAGAGCGGGACATTTTATGGTACCAACAAGATGGTGCGCCCCTCACAGCACCAATGCTGTTTCCATAAAACTTTTGGAAATTTTTGAAATCGTTGGTTTGCCAATAACGGTCCCTTTCAATGGCCACCTAGGTCACCTGACCTAACGCCTATGGATTTTTATCTTTGGGGTCGAATTAAAGATCTTATTTATGATACACCATTAACAAACAATGAAGATTGCATTGCAAGGGTGCGAAATGCCTTCAACTCTCTTTCCCCTGAAGAGATTCCAAGAGCTACAAATGGAGCTGTGACAAGGCGTGTTCAACAATGCCTTGCATCTAACAGACAACATTTTGAACATTTATTGTGATTAAAAATTAAATAAATAATAAAAAAAAATTGTAAATTGATAGTTTTTTGAAAATAACTATGAAACTGAGCCCTTTTATAAACTTGTCTTAATTTTTGAATTACCGGTACATTTTAAATACCTATAACTTGGCCTATATATGTATTAAAAAGAACCTTTGTTGAAGGCTGCTTCAACTTAGGAGTGAGAATTGCATTCGCTTGATTTCAAGTGGGCTCACTGCAATTTAAGTGTGTCAGAAGTTATAATGATAAATACCGAAATAAACTTTGAAAGTTGGTTTGAATGGTGTAATGAAATGAGAGGGGAAAATCGGGAATTTTACCACGAAATACAGATTTGTAATGAAATATATTTGACATTTACAATAAATTATTGTACTAAGTGGCAAGTGTATGCGCTTTAAACAATCAAATTTTTAAAATAGGAAATTTTACAGTTGAAAACTGAAACATTAAAATAGTGTCTTAATAATCAATAATATAATAAATTTTGTAATATAATTTAAAATGAGAATACCCCATAAAATTATGCTGTATGTTTGATATCTCTTACCTTAACTCATCTATTTTCACATAAATCATAGGTTTTTTTAAAGTATTCTATATGCCATCAATTTCTACTGTTATTACCCATATTAAGTGCACATTTTTATAAAGTGTTCCCATTTTGAGCCGCGGTGTACAACGATTGATAGTGTGGGTATTAAAAATATGTATGTAACACTTAAATTTCCACTCATACAATTCCTTATAGTACAATTTAATTTACACCATTTAGAGCAATCTCTACAATAGATATTTTAGGAAAAGAAAAACAACGATATTGAGAAGATGCACGTTTTCTGCAAAGGGATCACTTCTTCTAATTAATTTATAGTGGATTGAGATATAAATAGATACATACAGTAAAAAACATGTACAAACTGAGCCTTTTGGTCGGACACCTTTCTATGACCCAAACAAATTGAGATATTTCGCCCTGGTAAGCCCAAATTTTCATAGAAATCCCTCTAGATATTCAGATATTCTTTCTGAAAAGTACTTCGAGTGTTATTGTTTTAAATTGTGTAGGATTTTACGTATTTTTATTCATTTACCAACCCTGGCAGGTTGAAATTTTACAAAGTCAAATAAATAGAACAGTAGATGCTATTTTTCAGAATACGTCGTATATTCAGGGACATTTGCTCGAATCAGAGATTCATCTTATTGAAACATATCACAGTCAATTTCCATAAGATTCCATTAATTTATTTAGGCCATTGAGGAGCAACATTTAAACCGAAGCGCCACGTGCATTTTCCAATATTAAAGTTCATGCAAATATCATTTCAACCTACGTATCAGCAGACACTATCAATTTTATTGCCTAATTATGTACAGGGATGATTTGTAATTTAACTACCTACGTCCAAATCGGTTTTTCAGTAGAGATAGTGTCTTCGCCATTAGCGGAGCTTTCTTGGGTTTTATATGAGAACTGCTGCTGCTACCTAAGGAGATCAACGCTAATGTTAACACGTATGCAAAGCGTATGTTTATATTTAAATTGTTCAAAGCTCAAGTAAAACTGTCTAAAATCAAAGTTAAACTTACTCCTTTCAACTGCCGATCTACTAGGATTTGGTACCGCAATTTTAGATGCTTCTCCAGATTTTGCGAGTTGATTTAGTCTTTCCGTTGGCGTTTGCGATGGTTTCTTGATATCAATTACGAGACCATTTTTCACCTAAAACAAAGTAAAATATTAGTTTATTAAATTTGGCGCAGCACCTCGTAATATATCATATCATATAATGGGTGATTCAAAATTGGCGTCATTCTTCTGCAAGTGTTGTCTGGGGGTGTTTTGAAAGTACACAAAAAATAGCAAAAAGAATGAATTGTAATTAAAAACTTTAGATATATTTGCAAAAAACTATATCAGAAGGATGGCAACAATGTTTTTCAAGGTAATTTGCCTAATTAACATTATGTAAAAAACTGATGCTTCTTAATTATTAAAAATTCCGGTAACCTTGGAAAAATAGAGTGACAATAAGATAGAGAAGGATAAAGGTAAATTCAACAGGGTTCGTTTTATGTGGAACGTACTTTTCCGAAATGTCAACATTGTTATCATAACCTCGAATTGATGTGTACACTACGCAAATAAAGAAACATTTCAATCTTTAACTGCAAACATAAGGCATCTATGATCATCTTATTATGCACTTTTCTCGAGCAGCGTCTCGTATTCGGTTAATTAACTCCTGCTCAATCTGTACCGGTGTTCAGTAAGCTATTGGTTTAATGTGTTCGTGTGCTGTGCGTATCTAACAAAAAACATCATTACCGCTTTGACTTTTCGTCAAAAAATTGTAGAAGATAACTTTTTTAATATAAAAAATGTTCGTAGTTTGATGCAAATAGCGTAATATTTGCAATATATATAATTGTAAACTGCTGCAACACAAATACAGGAAATATTTCTTCTCACTGATCCGTTTTTTGTAGGATTACAGATTTAAAATTCAGAATTGGCATTATCCTTAAATAAACCAGATAATTTCAACGTGAATACATTCATTGCTCGAGATAGTTTTTAGATAATTTTGAATTTAAGATTGACATCGAATGGAAGAAAATTGCAATTTATTGCAGTGAAGATACTGTTATATTATTATACTGTTATATTTTTATAAGAACAAAAGTTTGTTGAAGATACAATAGGGTGTTTTCACTTTTTTTAAATGTTGATATATAGAAAGTAGTTATGGCAAACATTACACTGATATATTTTTTTCCCTATCCCGATTGTGACGTAGCAGGTCATATCAACAAAGCGTCTCGTGTTTATTTTGTTGTTTTCGCAGCTTTGTTTTATTATTTAAGTTGTTATTATCATTATTTCATTGATTATTATTATTATCTTGCATAATGGAAAATAGTGACATGTATGGATCACAAGGAATTTGGTTTCTTATTTGGACGAATATAAGTTTCTAAATATTTCAAAAATTGGCAATTTGTGAGTGTCTCTACCTCTAAAGGGTTTTTTCGATTACCACTAATGTTACAACATAAAAAGGGTGATAAATTGAGCAATGAGGTTTTGAACCAACGAAATTCTAATTCAAAATGTTGCACGCCATGGAAAGTAATGAACGATCATTTGATTTGATCAAATTTACGTAAGTAAAAACTGCTTTTAAAGTTTTAATTAGAATAATAATTAATATAAAAATTGAAGCGAATTGAGATTTTTTTACATTTTTATATTTGTATAAACATTTACAGTGTAATATACCGTTTCCAATAACACTTTTGTTTCACTTATCATTTTTATAAAAAAAAAATTGTTTTTTTGATTTTTTTCCGATCTGGCATCAGTGGTTGAAACAGTTCAATAGACGAATAAGTATTCAATTAAAATAACGATTAATCTGAGCTAAATAATGCATCACAATGAACAATATTTAAATTAAATTTGAGAAGTGCTTTGCTTTCTTAATCTATAGTGAAATAAATTGTTTGGATTTCATGCATTAACAATCAATATACCAACACAATATTAACACGCTCACCGTCGTACTAGGCATGTATTTCTTAGGATCGCGTTAATTGGATGTAGAACACGTTTTAAAAGATTGAAGCAACAAATACACGCCAAATAACAAAACATTATGTGCATACTTGCAGTTCGCCTTTTACAGTATGCTTTGAATTACTCACCTTGTTAAAATAAGAAACCCACAATAGTTATTAAAATTATAAATACCTGTTTTCTGGCGATGTTCCTTGGCGGTTTGACTACGCTGTCTACATAAGCCAATTTAGTCTGTCTAACTGGTATAGACTTATCTTGACTCTGTTTTATATTGGCAGTTAAAGCCTTCAGCTTGGCTTCCCGTTCATCTAAGCATCGCAAGTACATTTCACGCCAAGACTCCAACTCTTCTCGTTTTTTGTTTCTAAATTCCTTAAATAAAAAAGTTATATTCCAAGACAATTAAAAATAATCGCAATTTACTTTTTGGCAGTGCAATTGCCACAATTCATCAGTATCTTCAATTAAATATGGATTATGGAACTCTAGCATGTATAACTGATTTGGATTCGCCTTCTCCAATATGGGCTTCAGAATTGAATACGGAACACCGCCTGTATACTCCAAAGCTGTAACAAGTCACTTTTAACATACAACACTTTAGCGTTACAAATCACTCAGTACCATCTAAATTATCCTGTAAAATTCTACTGCACAGATCAAACAGTGTGGGAACCTTCGTAAAACCAGCCTTGTTGCCCGAATACACTTTAGTTCTAAAAATTACAAGATATATTAAAATACACATTTTATTATTAAAATTACGAATTTAGCAAATATACGTTGTAAGTTAATTGACTTCCTACATAAAACATTAATTCAAATATAGCAAACAAATCAAATTGGTTGCAGTTAATTAAAGTAATTGTTAAAATTTCATAATAAAACAGTACTTATATTTCTTAAGGACAAACAATAGGAAATATTCCATCAAGACTGATCAAGATAATACAATTTAAAAAAATGCAACAAAACATTCAACAGTATATTGTTCAATGTTCCTACCTACCTCTGATGTTTCGCAGTTATAACTCTACTAAATGCTTCATCATCCATATACATTGGCCTACTACTTTCGAGTGTTACTCCCAAAGGTCTATAATTTGGTGTAATCGATGGAAGTAAACTGGACATATTGATATCTAGTGGATCTAAGCCAGCTGGGTCTTTTAATAGATTTGGTATCTGTAATAAAGTACACCTTGAGGATGTTCAATTAGTCAATTGAGTTACCAATGATTTACCTCTCCATTAGTCTTAAAACTGGGGCTCTCACTAATCGGTTTACTACCCCTTGCAGTCTTATCCTCTCTTGGAACACTGGAAGTTTTCTTTGAGGAGGATGGTATCGTTTCGTCGTTTGCAGAACTTTTCTTTTTACTTTTACTGTATACTGGGGCTTCCAGCATACCCAACACATCTGCAAAACTTGTCCCTGAACCGGAATCGATGCCATCCAACAGCTTCTTTGGTATCTTGTTAGATTTTGACTCGGCAGATTTATCTTTAATTGTTTCGCTCACAATTTTTTTATCCTTTGATTGTTTATACGGCTCCTTTTGTTTTTCATCCTTAACACTGTGCTTGTCTCGATCCTTTTTACTTGAAGATGAATGGTCATGAGAGCGTCTCGAGTCGTTAGTGTCGGAGCTAGTTTTACACTTTTTACTTTCTCTACTAGAAGACTCCTCTCTACTTCTTTTCCTGGTTGTTTCACTTTTGTCATCCTTCTTTTCTTTGTGGGGTTTTTCCTGATTAGAATCATTTTTCTTATTATCTTCACTTTTGCCCGATTTTGTTGATGATCTATGAGAGCCGCGATCCTTTGACTTGTCTTGTCCTCTTACGGATTCTCTGTGCTCGGACTTCTTATGATCCGAACTACTTGACTTTGACTCAGGTTCTCTACTTTTTTCTGATGTATGTTTGGATTTACTTGATTCGCTCTTCGAATTGTGATGTCTTAAACGTGTCTCATCGTTCTTGGAAGTAGATTGTTTAATATATTTATCTGGTTTTTCCTTATGTTTTAGAGCTGTGCCATCTGCATCTGAGCTATCTGAGTAATTATTTTTAAATTTTTTCTTGCTATCCTGAATTTTAGAGTATTCAGAACTTGCACCATTACTTTTACTTTGCTTTTCATTCCTAGAATCGTTTGATTTTTTATGGCTGTAACCATCCGAATCAGAGTCATTTGAAGAATGGCGTTTTCTATTATGATTTTTATCGCTGTCGTCTTCATCACTAGAAGAACTTCCACTACTGTCGCTAGAAGAATTATCACTAGACCCAGAAGTTGAACGTGCATGCGAACTTTCGCTCTGTGTTCTCCTTGAACTTGACTGATTAGAACTATCAGAATCGTCAGATTCAGACTCACTGGACTTATCACTGTACTTCGAATGGTTCTGTTTGACCTCAGTTTTTATGACTTTGTTTCTCTTTGATGCAATCTCCGAGTCAGACGGGCTACTTTTATAATTATGTCTTTTGTGGCTTTTGTCTTCACTGTTAGTTGCTTTAGATTCACAATGTCTACTGCTTTGGCTATCACCATGCGAACTCTTAGATTTACTATGATTAGACGAGTGATAACGTTTGTCATCGTCACATTTAGTTTCTCTAGTAGCTCTTTGGGGAGATTCTTGAACTGGAACTACAACAACAATCTACATTAATTTTCAAATGTGTGCCGGGTGCTACAGTTCTAAACAATCCAGTAAATCGGCAGGCACTTAATGAGTTTTGGAAAAAATTGTAATCGGTTAGTTTGGCAAGCGTTGTCCTTCAGATTCCTTTTTTTTATCAAAGGCCCCATTTTTTATTGCCATTATAAATAGTAAACATTCAAATCAATTCAATCTACGTTAAATGCTTTTAATTGTGTTATTGATTTTTACGTACTGAACACTACTTAACATTAAAATAACTAAACAAATTACAAATATATTTCTTACCAGCATCTATTTTTTCTACTTTAATTGACTTAAGCTCATTCTGCTCCTTTTCCTCCTCTTCTTCACCTTTCACCATAAACTTCCACTTATCCACCAAATTTCTGGCCTGTTCACCCACAGTGCCTGTAAAAAATATTACACCTATATTTTCTTTCTTATTGACGAAAGTTATTATCACATAAATGTGTAACTTGTTACTTTGATTTTTCTGTTACGTATGTTTTTGAATAGGTATATAAAATGTACTTAATATTTACCTTCAAATTTTTTTAAGCCATTCACAGTTCTCCCAACCCCAGTTTCTTCTAGATGCCAAACTCTGATTGGAAGTAAAGACAATTTTCCAATGGCATGAAGCAACTGAAAGAGGAAATGTTCTACTCAGTTTTTATAAAGTATGCCTGAAAGTTATTGAACTAGGACAATGTACCTAGACCAAATATGGTATGGGTGAAAACCTTGGAACCGGTCATTACAAATTTCCTTGGTAGGTGGGATCGAACAGACTGATTAAGTTTAAGTATTTTGTTCTGATTTCGAGGAAGCTTACATAAATATGCGAAACGTCGACAAATGTAGATAGCAACAACAATTTAAGGGATCAACTGGCATTGCTTATAAACCTAGCTAAATGAAACTAGTAATTAAAATGCACGTCCTCAAGCGTATGTCCAAGTTACACCAACAACATATGAGGTATCGAAATAACAAATGACTCCTCCATTTCGAAATATGGTTACAGTAGAAAGTAACCTTTACCTTTTCACTTTTGCCTGTTTTCGTGTTCCTTTCCAAACTCTCCTGATAGTGTTTAATGGCTTTTAACATCTTATCATCCGCTTCGCCCATTGTAGTTTTACCTAAGTTTCTCTAATCGACAATAAGAGCCTTTCTAGAGTATCAGTCAGCAGCTGGCTGAGTGTTCTTTAGAAAAATTTAAAGCATTTTCCACATGCACATTTATCAAGCAACGTAACTTTTGTATTCACATCAAAAAGCTTCAACCCTCAGCCTTAACATGATAAATACTTAAGTTTCATGAGCTGAAATTCACTTTTTCAGCAATATTGGTCAGTTTCAATGATGTTTTACTTGTACGTACTTGATAACAGTTCTCAATTCTCAAACAGAGACAAATACTTGTCTCTGTCTCAAATGACAAACAGAACGTGAACAGACCAAATGACTTTTTGATCAACTTTGACACTTGTCAGCTGACAAACTCGCAAGAGTGACACAACCTAACCTACATGCGATATATTCAACAAATGCACTAAAAAATGGAATTTAAAATGGTTTTGCCTTTAATCTGTAGTGTTTAGCATATAAAATTTGAATTATTACTCCACTTTCCCGGCCCTTCATTTTGTATTTTGCTATTTGCCAAATTTTTTCTCCTCCAAAGTGAAGTGAATCGCTGCAAATTTCACACCATACGACATAACCTACTTATTTTGACAATAAATAAATTTCAAAAATAAACTTTATATTTACAAATTAAGGATGTTTAATTAATTAATTAACAAACAATGGACACACATGAAGAATATTATCAGCAAGTATGTAAGAATTTCTTATGTGGTCAGTATTTGGTAGTGGAGCAATATTTCAGCTGCAAGTAATCAATCAGTTATTGGAACAAACTCCGGAAGGTCAGGAGAAAAATGAACTCAAAGGATTAAAGGAAAACATAGAGGAACTTCTGGCTTTAACAAACCCATCACCTTCTACTGACGATGAACAGAATAATGCTGTTCAGCAAGATAGAGAGGCTGAGAGCATTCCAACGAATGAGGCTCTTGATGATGAATATGCACGGTTTATGGTATATTTTTTTTATATTTATCATATTTTGTTTAATTTCTGGTTGCTGCACGGGAAAGCTGGGGAAAGGGAAACGTTTCGACCAAATTTATGGTCGCAGATGACAATTGAAAACTATTCATTTCCAATTTAAAACGCAGCTCCTTTTAAGTGAATAAACTGCTTAACAAAATAAACGTTACACATACATTTTTAAACTAAATAAATTCTGATCGTCTAGAGCGATTAGGTTTCTGTTTGAAGTGTTATTGAGCCCCCCTTGTTTTCGTTAGTCAATGTTTTGGTCAAAAAATGCAAAATTTTGCAAGGTTTTCTTGCTCGTAGTTGGACAAAAAAGTATGTTTTGGGTCTCAACACCAAAAGTTTAAAGATAAACCAATTAGCTCGAAACGGTTTTTGAATTTCGTAAAATGTAAAATATTTACAGGGTGGTCTCAAAAAATCAGCAGTGTCTTATCTCAGTGCCCTTTTTATCATGTACGTACCGGACACCCTGTATAAGTATCTCATTTTTATCTCAGTATGATTCGATATTCGCATTCTTACAATGCAATACGATTATGAAAACAATTCAATGATTGAAACAATCAGTTACCTGTATATATACCTGTATAATACTTAGTTGATCTATGAAAACAACAATTTTTAGGCTGAAGTATCTGAAGAAGGGAGAGTTGATATATCCAACGCAACTGAAGACTCTCAAGTTTTAGAAACCACCAATCCAAATCATAACAATAATTATTTTAAAGACCTCGAAGGCAAGAAATTTAGAGCTCCGCACCATCATCATTGGGGACAGTTAACTTATCATAATGCCATGGTTTGTTCAGTCCCAGATGAAATTTCGAATCCTGATGATTTACAGGTAAAATTTTGATTGTTTTCTTTTCCATTCTTAGGAAGCACAAGACAGTTTGAACTCTGTAGTAGACGTGATATTGCTGTTTTGGAACATCAGCTACCAAAGTTATTGAAAGTATTACATTAAAACTAGTAATGCTATTACAAATTAGCTTTTTCTTGCAGGTGAAAGTGTTGTTCTTAAACCCGACCCACACAGAAATGTTACCCTGTCCGTATTATTTCGACTGTGAAAAAGATTGTCGTTTCAGTGATGAGCAATGCAGATTTTCACATGGAGAGCTCGTTGCGTATTCAAGCTTACAAGACTATATTGAACCAAAATTTGAACACTTAATCGTTGGAAGCGCCATTCTGGCTAAACAGGCTGATGATCTGTGGTACAGGTAAGACAAGGTTTATATGAAAAGAAGTTAATGTAGTCGATTTGATTCATGTATATTTCACAAATTGTAGAGCTAAAATTACAAAGATTTTAGAAGAAAAATGTTTAGTTAGATTTGATTCAAAGAGTGTAAATAACGATGCATCTGAGGAAATTGCATTCAAGCATATTCTCCCACTGGAAAACTATGAAAATGGCGACAGTGATGATGGTAAACTGAATTGACAAACGCATATTACTAATAAAACTGATTAAATGAAATTATTTAAATCCGCATATACTCGGTGTAATCTTAATCGAGTTTCTCTTTGCAGTGATCGAAGAGAGTGAAGATGAAGAGAATTTGTTTGAAAAGGCTCAAACGCGCCAACAAATAATTGATAGAAGTTTAATGCAAACCCCAGGGCCAGCTCGATTAGGTGATTGGGAAAAATATACTAAGGTTTGAATAACATGATTGAACCTCTAAATCCCTACTACTACCAACATGGTTTCTGTTTAGGGCATTGGATCCAGGCTGATGCAAAAAATGGGGTACATAGTGGGTACGGGATTGGGAAAGGAAGCAGAGGGAATTGTAAACCCCGTTTCAATCGTAATATTGCCTCAAGGAAAATCACTTGGTAATTCGCTATTCTATGGGATGAATATATTTATTACTAACTGCCAAATCAAACAGATTTCTGTATGAACTTAAAAGAGGAGCGAAACAATCCAGAATTGTTTCATGCCGATCAGCAACGTGTGAAATCGAGGAAGTTCGGCCAAAATTCAGGTCGCCGACGAGTGAAAGCTAAAATAAATCCAGAATTATTGGAGCTAGAAGGTTATATTGAATGGCATTTTCAAAGTGGAAAGGTTTGTAGGATTTAATTTTAATTTCGCTTTTGTGTGATATTAACGTAGAAGTTTATTTACTGTTCAGCGATTTAATGAATTTGATTTTAGAAGGTTATTGAAGAGAAGGAAAGTTCAGTGTTAAGGGATAAATTGAAAACTGCTTTGGACAAAGCAGTCAACGTTGCAAGTTTTATGTTGGATGAACGGATAAAAACGATCACATTGTATGTAATTTAAATTGTTCTATTTGTTTGTTTAAAATCCACGGGAATTTTAGTGATCTGGAAGAGTTGAAAATTCAAATACGGCAGTTGGAAGATAAACATCAAGAACCCAAATCTCTGTATAAAAAGTTGTCAGGCAAGGAAACCGATTTGAAGCGGCTGAATATTTTTAGAAGATTAGTTCAAAGTGAACTGGACAGACGAAAGAACAATAAAGAAATGGCCGTATTTTAAGTAGATAATTGGTAAGTTGCTGCTGTTTCAAAATGTTCAATGGTGCAATTTACAAAATTGCCGTATGTATTAGTGAATTGCTGGAACTTATTTAATGATATGCTTATGAAAAATGTTGTTTCAGAAAATATCTGTATCCTTTTACTGGATCATTCCCAACAATTCTTAAAAATCGTAGCAGTTGTTAGTACCTAAAATAATCGGTTCGTAATTTAGTAAATAAGTAAATCAATGTTCCTTTTTTGGTATTCTGTTTTCTAATGACGCTGTTAAAATTACGATAATATTAAATAAACTTTTGGTAACTATCTTTGCTTAAACAGAACGGGTGAGTCCATATAGAATTAATGGTCAAAATCTGTAATTGCTATTCGGAATAATCACTTGTTCTCAATAGCTGTGAAGACCTAATGGGCTGAATTGGTTGATTGATTGTATGATTTGTTTTTTATACAAATTTTGCAAACGTAGGGCGCATTTAAAAATAAAATGCAGACAGATTTTACACAAAGAACCGAATAAAAAATATATATATTTTGTTATTATATATATAAATTGTGAGTCAAAGAATCAGGCAATTTTCCAGAATTTTTCAAAACCGCGTTCGGTTTTTGTGGCTGTTTTTGTTTAGGTTTCGCAGGTCAAAGTTTAGCATTTATTTTCTCTGTAACTTGCAAAGTAAGAAAGCCATTTTTCGATGCATCTTGTAGAGCAACGTTTGTTCTATAGTAGAAGAAAGTTTCGATTTTCAGTCATCATCAGTCAATTTTTGACACGTTTTGGTTTACGTTTGGTTTACTAGGTTTTTTTGCAAGCCGGGGTGTCGTATTTATTCATTCAGGAACTAACAAAGTGAAAGCGTAGATTTTGTATGTATTTTGCAGAGCAAAGTATGTTCTACAAGTGCCAAATAKTTCGATTCTTAGCCATCGTCAAGCAATTTTCAAGAATTTTTTGAACTTGCCACTGATTTTTGTCGTGGTTTTTGCAGGCCGAAGTTTTTGTTTTCGCCTTYATTTTCTCTATAATTTGCAACGGGAGACAGTGAATTTTGGGTGAATTTTTAAGGGCAAATTCGCATAAATAAGTGAAGGAAGTTTGGATTTTCAGTCATAATCAGGCAATTTTTGACAATTTTCCGAAATTGCGTTTAGTGTACGAAGTTGGTTTTGCAGGCCGGATGTTGGCATTTATTTATTTATTTTTATTTTATTCATTCATTCAAGAACTAACTTCKTGAGAGAGTCGGTTTTGCACGCAATTTGTAGGCCAACATTTTTTCTACAAGGATTAAAATCTTCGATTTTCTGTGATCATGCGATAATGTTGAATACTTTTTCAAMTATGGATGTAGTTTTCGCGTATATTTCTGATGAAATATACCTGATGCTCGCAGTTTGGGAWTTATTTCCCCAGTAATTTACGAAGCTAAAAAATCACTTTTGAATCACATTTATAGGGTAAAGTCGGCTCTTTAAGTAAGAAATAGGTTTTGTATTTCGAACKTGTTTACACATGCCGTAGTTYGACAGATATTTAGTCGAAAACTTTTGTATGTATTTTGTTGAGCAAAGTCTGTTAAAAATGGCAAAAGTTTCCTTAAGGCATCATTAAGTCATATTCAAATTATTTTTTTAAATTGCGATATAATTTTGTGGCTTTTAGGCAGTCGAAAGTTAGTTAAATAGACAAAAAAATCCACTGATAAATATTTTTGCCCCGAAGTTTTTCCAGATAGGTACATAATAATAGCAAAAAAATTAATTAAAAAATTATGAATAAGTGATAAATGCCTACACGTAAATAATTTTACCCGTTCAAACGGTGACAATGACTTCAGAACATTACTTGTGGGCCTAGGTAACATTTTTCTTGTCATTTAAAATTATTACTTTGATGTGTTAAAATATCCGCTTTATTAGTTCCAAATTGAATTCGGTGATAACGAAACTCAAAGAAAAAATGTCGAAGGCAGAACGAGTTGCGATGGGCGACTATTGGACCAGTACAATTGAAAAAGAAGGTGCTCTTAGATCGTTATGGTTTAGAAAAAATGAGGAAAGATTAAACGAAATAGCGAACAAAATTCCATCTAGAAAAGTTAATGAAGACATTAAAGAAAAAATAAAGCAGGTAGGGGAATTTTAATTGAAAAAATCTAAGGAAATTGCTGATTCACCCACAGGAGCGAATTGCAACTTTCCAAAACATCAAAAAATTTCCTAGGATTAAAACTGAAGAAGTGGTGCCCGTTTTTGAAGGAAACCTTCAAGACATTATGAAGCCCGTAGATCCTGCAGTTAAGAAGTTGATTTATACAGGGAGCAATCAAGATGGTCGCGTCAATTATTTGCATCAAAGAGTTAAATTGTTACCGGAAGACAGGTTGCTGATGGTACAGGATAACAATGTAACTCAATAATCGGTTTAGGTACTATTTTCCAGAGTGCAATAGTTGGGAGTATGGCTGGAAAATGTGGGATGATGTGAAAAACATTAAGAAAACTGGTTTTGGCCGACAACAAATAATTAAAGACTCGTTTTACAGAAGAAAAGGCGTGGAAAGGGACCCTGATTGGTATAAGGAGCCGGCTCATATCAGCCCGACTTTTTGCAATACTTGCCACTGATCTGGTTTGTCGCAAATAGAGGAAAACACATCCTAACATTCAACAGTAAAACATTATTATGATTAATATAAATACGCGTTGAACAGAATTTGTTTTATTCATATATTTATTAAAAGTGTTATTTAATAAATAGCGTCGGCGAAAAATCTAGCTTTTGATACATGATAAACATAATGTTTATTGTAGTCTATATATAAAAATCTTGGTTTTATTACATCAACACAATACTGTGTTGATGATAAAAAATAAAACTTGCTTAATTTGTTACTTCTTTTCTAACTCAAAAGTGTCATAGTAATTAATAATTTCTGAAACTACGGGAAATCCCTAATAAAGGAATAGAAACAGACTTTAAGGCTACATACACACTATGCGGGTAGGCGTGATGCCGTCCGGTTGACCGAATGCAATAAAAATGTATGTTATTTTACGGAACAACAGGGTTTCTATCCACATTAGAGGTGTGATAAACCGTTATTTTTCTGCAACGGGTTACACCGTTCCAGTTTCACCTTGGTAATAGATTTCAACATGCGGTTCCAAAAGGAACATGTTTCTTTTTACATTTTTCATTAAAAATGCAGAATGAGGATAGTAGAAATAGTGATATATAATGATTTACTTTATTAAAAACATAATTCTTAACATTGGTAAACTTAAAATAAAATATTCTAAAATCAAAAGTAAAACATGGGTCAGAAGTAACTACTTAAAGAACAAAAAAGCGGATAATAATAAAACGTTTTTTAAACCATTTATCACAAAGAATAACACACGACCATAGATAAAGACTGAAAAAACACGGATTGGTATTTTTGCTAACATAAGTTTATTATGTTTCAAAGTAATTAATATTTGCGATACGAATTAGAAAAGACTCTCGGTCTTGTGTACGTTGCAGCAGACATTTTCCCATCTTTACAAACTTCCAGGATACTTTTAAACACTGGAAATTGTATTAAATATTATACAATTTCATATTGTATTTCATAGCATATTAAATAATATATAAAAATCTTGTTTTTATTACATCAACACAATACAGTGTTGATGATAAAAAATAAAACTTGCTTAATTTGTTACTTCTTTTCCAATTCAATAGTGGCATAGTATTTAATAATTTCTGAAACTACAGAAAATCCCTAATAAAGGAATAGAAACAGACTTTAAGGCTCCATACACATTATGCGAGAAGCCGTGATGCGGTCCGCCGTCCGGTTGACCAAATGCAATAAAAATGATGTTATTTTACGCAACAATAGAGTTTCTAGCCACACTAGAGGTGTGATAAACGGGTATTTTTCTGTAAGGGGTTACAACGTTCCAGTTTCACCTTGGTAATAGGTTTCAAAATGCGGTTCCAAATCGAACATGTTACTTTTTAAATTTTTCATTAAAAATGCAGAATGATGAGGATAGTAGAAATAGTGATGATATATAATGATTTCCTTTATTAAAAACATAATTCGTAACAGTGGTAAACTTATAATAAAATATTCTAAAATCAAAAGCAAAACATGGGTCAGAAGTAACTACTTAACGAACAAAAAAACTGATATCCAGAATATCCAGTAGTTTGTAAATTAATTTCGACAGATCAACTTTTTACCGAGCATTATTTGAATTTAAGGATTGGTATTTTTGCTAACATAAGTTTATTATGTTTCGAAGTAAATAATATTTGCGATATGAATTAGAAAAGTCTCACGGTCTTGTGTACGTTGCAGCAGAGATTTTCCCATCTTTCCAAACTTCCAGGATACTTTTAAACACTGGAAATTGTATTAAATATTTTATACTTTTTTACCTGAAACAATTTAAATTATTAACAACAGTGACGTTACAAGCAGTAGATAACCCAAAAAAAGAATTGTATGTTTGAATTACTTGATTTAATTATCAATTATCATATTATTACTTATACTTATTATAACTGACAATGAATTAAGCAATATTTGAATTAATAATGGCAAATTTGCGGTTAAAAACAAAAAATGTTAACTAGTAGCTAATGTCATCCTAAGTTCGAGAGAAGACAAACAACATCAATCTGACTGACATTTCTATTTAGAGTTTTCCGGTAGTATGGTGGTAAAAGTGCAAACATGGCGGATGACAAAGATGTGGAGAAAACGATCGCCGAAGATTTGGTTGTTACCAAATATAAAATGGCTGGAGAGATCGTGAATAGTGAGTTTTAGGCCGCAGATTTATTTATTAAAGTTATCAGTTAAACAAAACCCCCGGGCAAGGCTCAGTACAGCTACTTAAGGTGTCTAGTCCATATGGAGTGCGTGTTTAGCGGTTAAAATGCCATGTGGTTTTCAGAACTTTAGAAATTCACTTAGGTTCTAATGCTTTTGCAAAAACCTCTTTGCATTGGAATACAATCAGTCCGGTGCACATCAAAGTCATTTTTCGGTTTGATTAGGAACCATTCCGAAAGCTTAAAACAGGTTTTAGTTCCAGTAGGAGGGAATAAGGAAGCGATCCAATTCTCACCTTCATTAATTCTTTAGTTAGTTCATTGCCATTCAGTGTCTAAATAAATTAATTTCGGGCCTTTCAACCATCATTGCTTTGCAGGGATACTGAAATTGGTAATTGCAAAATGTGTGCCAGGAGCGTCAGTAAAAGCTGTCTGTCTATATGGGGACGAGCTTTTAACCGAAGAAACCGGCAAAGTCTTTAAGAAAGACAAAGACTTAAAGAAAGGCATTGCATTTCCAACATGTGTCTCTGTGAATAATTGTATTTGTCATTTTTCCCCGGTGCCTAGTGAACCCGACTGTGTCTTAAAAGCTGGAGATGTTGCTAAAATGTAAGCCATACCGACTAGCTAATATATTATATCAAATCGTTCTTACATAGATGATGTTATAAAGCTTTCAATTAATCGTACAGAATCATAGCTGATCAGAGAAATGCTATTCCGAAACACATTGGCCAAATAAATCCAACTCATTGCCATAAATATCATCAATATTTGGGACTGATTCTACAAATTGTATAGACAAAAGGTTACAAAATTCAACCACTTCAGTTTCAACCTTTGAGACTTCTTGATTGCATGTGAGTCGGTATGCAAGCATTTGCGCGCAAACCTTAATTCCAATAATTTTTTATTGCCATGGACCCGGGAATATGATTTTGCAAGAAACCTCGTTGCTAATAATGTAAAAGTTCCGCATTAAAATGCCCAAGGAAAAAAACAAGAATTGCTATGGAAAACCCATTTATGATACTGAGGTTGAAATAATTTCGCCAGTGTATTTCATACCGTCAAATCACCGCTTTACCATACAAATGTGCTTAAACTCTCTTGTTTTTTCAGCGATTTGGGAGCACATGTCGATGGCTTTATTGCCGTAGTTGCCCATACGATTATCGTGGGAGCTAATCCAGTTGAAAAAATCACTGGTAATACACAAACTGCTTCTTTCTGTAGTGGATATATTAAAACCAGTATTTTTGTTCAGGCAGGAAAGCTGATGTTATTCTGGCAGCTCACTATGCCTCGCAAGCAGCCTTGAGATTGCTTAAGCCGGGCAATGACACCTATGCAATCACTGAAGCTGTTCAAAAAGCAGCTGAAGCTTTCAAGTGCAAACCAGTCGAAGGGATGTTGAGTCATCAGCTGAAACAGTTCAAGATTGATTGTGAAAAAACCATCATTCAGGTAGTTAAACGGAAGAAGAAGTCCTGATCGATTCTATTTATCCAGTTTGTTGCTCATCGTAGAACCCAAACGATGCCCAGAAAAAAGAGCATGAAAAGTTTGAACTGGATAAACATGAAGTGTATGCTATGGATGTCATAGTCAGTACAGGAGAAGGTGTGGGCAAAGAAACTGAAACCAGAGTGTCCATATACAAGAAAACCGATGAAACCTATCAGCTGAAGCTTAAGGCATCCAGGATGTTTTATACGGAGGTAACTAAAGTGCCTAAAAATCCGAATTTTTCTATTCACACAGTAAAATCTTCCAGGTTAGAACAAAACACGGAAATATGCCGTTCAATCTTAGATACTTTGAGGATGAGACCAAGGCAAAGATGGGGGTGAATGAATGTGTGAAGAATAAGCTCGTGGAACCTTTTCAAGTGTTATACGAAAAGCCTAGTAAGTCTGTTTAATTTTCAACGCCTATTGTAGGAAATAATTCGATAATACAGAGTGTCTCTGTAACGAGCCTCGTCATTGAAACCTCGGAAACCACAAACGGTCGCTTAATTGAGGCAAAGTTGAGCATTTTTGGTCTTTGTCTAATGCCGTTTTCAAACTTGGGAAGTTCATCTACTTCTGAAGAAATCAACTCATCAACTTGTTCGTCACGTTTTAGTTAAAACTGTTTTGATATAATGATGATTATCTATTTTTTCCAATTGATCCTTCTGAAGTCTTTGAGGAAAATCTTATACTGAACAAAATGTAAATCATTTAGGAAATTATTGTTTTTTTTTAATTGACAATATAATAATTTCTGTTTTTAGGTGAAGTAGTAGCTCAGTTCAAGTTCACTGTGCTACTTATGCCTAATGGCCCGCACAAGATAACGGGTGAGAGAGATACACTGAAATTGCGTAGTGCTTTTTTAACTGGTTATTCAATGTAGGGTTGCCTGTGGAGCTGGAATCATACGAATCTGAGCATTCAATAACAGATGCTGATCTAAAATCACTGCTGAACAGCTCCGCCAACCCGAAAGCGGCCAAGAAGAAGAAGAAGAAATCCGAAAGCAATTCCTCTGAGCCCCAGCCCATGGAGTGCGAAGTCTTCGAGATTTAGAATGACGTAATATTATTTTAACTGCCTTTTTCTATGACTTCATCAATTTTTATTTTCATTTTAACTGTTCTCTGACTTGCAATGTATCAAGTGGATTGAAGAAACCATCTCAGCTCTGGTCACAATTAAATTTTCCTCAATGAGGTGCATAATATGGAAAAGATACTGCCTCAAAAGTATGTTAGAAAATATTTTTCTAAAATTACCAATTAATTAAGCAGCTGAAACATGATTTTATTGTCTTAACATTTTGCTGTAACTTGCATAAGTAAAACCTACATTGGAATAAAATTTTCTAATTTTTTTAAAGAGTTTGATACTTAAAAGTTATGTTTTATTTCTGTGGTTTTTGATTTATCTGCTGGCGATTCTGGTAGGAAAACGTCGAGATACTTACTATATCCTTAGATAATAAATAACAATTGCAGAGTATTGAACTATTTAAGAAATAGAATATTTACTGTGACAAGTCAAATTGATGTAACAACTTCGTTTTAAATAAAATGAATTTAGTAGTTTGCGATGAATTAATTGTAGTTTTATTTCTTTCTTTATAACAGCGTAAGGAATGCCGGGGTTTCGGTCCGAGTGCAATTTCGTTGATTGGCTTCAACGACGTCAGCAAGTCAAGCGAGTAGAAGATGAGGCAGTTAACCCCTCTTTTCGGTGCACACTTCACTCACAACTTAAAAAATAGGTTGGAATATTGTTTGTGAATGTATTGCACCGAGCACAGACTACATACTATTCACCGAGATCAAGACTTGCAGTTGATTTTCAAGAACATTTAGATTGTGATATTAATAATGGCCGAAGACGTGCAAAGACATTCAGTACATACTTTAGTATTCAGATCCCTTAAGAGGTCTCATGATATGTTCCTAGCAAATCAGGGGCTTCTGCCCCCCGTTGACGAAAAAGCGTAAGCACAAACAAAAGCTGGACTCGTTTCCAGTCTATATGCCGAGGGTGTAGAAATGAAATTTATATAAAATATATATTTGCGGTTTTAGAGAGAATGTAAGACGCACAGTTAAAGCAAGAGATTTTTATGGACTAGTTTTTGACGACGTTAAGAAAATGCAAGCAATGAAGAACCTCAGAGAAGCTGAAGCAGGACCAAATCCTCCACCGCCAGGGACAGATCATCAAGAGAATAGCATCAATGAGAACGCAGTGGTTCCATATATGGAAGCCCCACTGGCAACTAGAGGGCAACAAAATAACCAGAACCAACTAGCGAATATTATTAAAAAATCGCCCGCTATGCCTAAACCCAAATGGCATCCACCGTGGAAGTTGTACAGAGTGATTGCTGGGCATTTGGGGTGGGTTCGTTGTGTCGCTCTGGAACCTGGAAATGAGGTAATTATGCTCGTTATGATATTCCTATCCTTCCTGGGTCTCAGTCAAAGTGTGAAGTAAAAATTTTTAAACATCGTTTATTTCATTACGTTTCGGCTAGAAAACAGCGCCATCATCAGATTTAAAATTTACACAAACTACAAACACCAATTCACAATTAAAACATGTTGTATAAAAATTATAATTTTAAGTGTTAAAACATTCGTCAGTTTTTGACGGAAAAATTTCTTCCTTTTGGGAGAGCAAAACACCGGAAAAACTTACCTCATAATTGGTAAAAATCAACGTCCTTTTAGGGCTTTGTCTTCTTAAAAACCTTGAGTTTGTCTGAACTATTTTCTACATTTGCGAGAGTGGTATGCATGTATTGAGATAAGCAGAAATAGTTTGAATTTTTCTCTAGTGTACCGGGTGTTTCATACTTATGGCTTTATTATATATATCTGTATCTGATCTGAAATTTACTGCTTTTGCATGTTTTTTTATCTGTATCATTTCTTGGATTCTTCTTTTATGATACTTTGTTTCCCTAATTAAAATATCTGCGTTGTCAAAATCAAAATTATGCATCATTTGGTGTGCATGTTGTGTTAATGCTGTTTTATTTTCACTAGTATTTCTCAGACTGTATTTATGTTCGTACATTCTCTTTTTTAAATATTGTTTAGTTCACTCTATATACTAAACAATTCACTCTATATACAGTATTTGGTATATCCGTTTTGTCAGTTTTTGGTTTCAGTCTTGGGAAACATTCAGTTGATATCAGAGTTTTTTCCGCAATTCTAATGTTGTGTGGCTTTAGTACTTTTGAAACTTTCCTACTGATTTCTGGAATATATGGTAGTGATATATATGTATTGTTTCTTTGTTCCTCATTATTATTATATTTAGTTGAGTTGTAAATTTTGTTAATTCTTCACTTTATTATTGGTTCCGAAATTTTTTTTGGGTAGTTATTATTAAGTAGTGTTTTTCTGATTTTTTTTTAAATGTTCTTGTCTTTAATTTGGGTGTGATAATTTTATAGCTCTATCTGTAAGTGCAGTTATTACGCATTTTTATATTTTTGGGGTGCATATGAATTATAGTTTAAATATCTTCCTTACCAAACTTCTTTTGATACCAATTTGTTTTTATTTCACCTGAATTATCATAATTTACTGTTATGTCTAAAAAATGTATTGATTGATTTTTATCCTTTTCTATTGTAAATTTTATAGTGTCGTGGAAATTGTTGAATTTATATGGGGTATATTGAACTTTATCTTTGGGTAAACGCATTAAGCAATCATCTACATAGCATCTAAAGAAAGTTGGCTTATAATTTAGGCTTGTTATTATGTTTTTTTCCAAGCTTTCCATAACAAGGTTTGCAATTGTTGCTGATATGGGGGAACCCATCGCTACACCGTATATTTGTGAATAATATTTGTCTTCAAGCTTGAAATATGTAGATTTTAGGCATAGTTCTACCGCTTCAATAAATTCTTTTTCCGGAATTGTTGAATGTTGTTCGATTTTCTTCCATTTATTTCTTATACATTCGATTGCATATTCAATTGGGATATTGGCATATAATGATGTTACATCAAGCGATACTAAACGGTGATTTTGTGGTCGATAAATTCACAGAAATTCCAACAGTCTTTAATATGATATTCTGATTGTCCTACAAGTTGTAAGTCCGTATATTACTGGTGCTTGGCCGTTACTGCAGTACAGTGTTCGTTTTGTTTCTTCAGTTATGTAGTTCTGTTTAAACCGAAAATTTATTATTTTAGTTAGTTTTGTTTGTTTATTATTGGTTAAATATTTTTTTCCTGTTTATATGTATTGATGTCATTTAGTAAGGCTAACATTTTTGTTTGGTATTCGTTTTTAAGCATAATTACTGTTTTATTACATTTATCTGCTGTTAGAACACATATATTTGAATTTTTATTTAGGAATTGTTTGTTTAAAAGTTGTTAATATGTTACATAATTTGTTTCTGACATTAATCTTTAGTTCATTGTTTAGTGAAAAGATTCAATTTTGGACTTTTGTTATGATGTTATCAATTGGTTTATATTGAGATTTATTTGGGGAAAACTTTGGTCCAAGCGATAAAATATACATTACCGGATTTGGTATGTAAATATGCTCTTGTAGATTTCCTTGTACTGTGTTTGTCTGACTTGTTTCTCTTTGTGCGTTCACCCCCAATAAACCCCTACAAACCTTTGCTAAAATAAAACAGCAGCACCAAAATATGAATCTATGTGGCGCCTCTGCTTCTGTACATTGGCATTTTCTGTATTTATATAGTGGTTGGTTTAATAATTTTCGTCCGTAATTTCAGTGGTTCGCAACTGGAGCAGCAGACAGAATTATAAAAATTTGGGATTTGGCCTCCGGCCAACTGAAAGTATCATTGACTGGCCACGTTAGCACAGTAAGAGGGCTGGCTGTAAGTACAAGACACCCTTACTTGTTCAGCTGCGGAGAAGACCGACAAGTAAAGTGCTGGGATTTAGAATACAACAAAGTAAGCCCGTTTTATCAAGCTAACATTATAGAAAATTGTGTTTATTTGAAAGGTTTTTATTGCAGGTTATTCGACATTATCATGGCCATTTATCTGCCGTATATTCCTTGGCTTTGCACCCCACAATCGATGTGCTGCTGTCAGCAGGCCGAGACTCAACAGCGAGGGTATGGGACATGAGAACCAAGGCGAATATCCACACTTTAACCGGTAGGCTTAGCGAGTGGTACTCTGAACTATCGTTTATGCGTAAAATTGTTTCAGGCCATTCTCACACAGTGGCGAAAGTAATCGCACAGGCTTCTGAGCCGCAGGTCATTACAGGCTCGCATGACACCACTATTCGCCTGTGGGATTTAGCGGCTGGAAAGTCCATTTGCACTTTAACAAATCACAAAAAGAGTGTCAGGGATTTGGTGTTCCATCCCACCCTGTAAGTAAAATTGCAGGATCTTCGATTAACCTATTTGGTATCATGTAACATTTCTTCCCATAGAAATATGTTTGCGTCTGGTTCTCCCGATAACATCAAGCAATGGAAATGCCCTGATGGCAAATTCATTCAGAACTTATCTGGTCACAATGCCATCATCAATTGTTTAGCTGTAAATGCTGAAAGTGTCTTAGTGTCCGGCGGCGACAATGGAACTTTACATTTTTGGGACTGGCGTACAGGTAATTAGTAAAAACCATTCGAAGCGAGCAGATAAGGTGTTAAAGATGGCGTTTCCAAATAGGGTACAATTTCCAAAGGCTGCAAGCCCCCGTTCAACCCGGTTCAATGGACAGTGAGGCCGGTATTTTCTCAATGACTTTCGACAATTCCGGTTCGAGGCTGATTACTACTGAAGCGGACAAGACTATTAAGATCTACAAGGAGGATGACACTGCCACTGAAGAAACCCACCCTATTAACTGGAAACCCGACATTCTGAAGAGAAGGAAGTTCTAATTTTTATACTTGATGACCAAGTAAGTTTGTATTATCTATTGATTGAAGATACAAAACGGTAATCGAAGAATACACAATTTATTTCGATATATTTCCATTCCTTAATATACCTTCACTTTATAAAGCAAATAAATAACATATAACAAAGGAAAACAAGTTGCAATTAAATGCATCAGAACGTGGTGCTGCGTTGCTTCGCACTGCGTCTACTTTGCCTTCAGTTTGGATGTGTTCTGGTTCACCAGAAAGAATCCAAGCTGTTGCAATGATAAGGCAAGAACGATTTGTCCAAATATGAAACCCACTCGTTGAGACCAAGTAAGGATTTTATATATTGGGTATAACCAAAACCCATGAAGAAAATATACTGACAAATACCTGCAATATAAAACGAATAGAAATGTTTCGAAAATAGTCACATTATTTACTTACAAGGTTTGGTAAATGGCGCAATATAATATTAAAATAGCAGCGGCTCGCTTCTTCGTGATTGCAACATTTTGTATGTTGTTGTATTTAAATTGGCTTATCACTTCAATAATTAGCGGGAATATTATAAAGGTATGCAGCGCATGATTCATCCATGGCGGATAAAACTCATCTGTAATTGAAATTGTATGTATGGAAATTTTAAGCGTTATTGGAAGTTTACCAATCGTTTTCGGAAAAATCAGTTCCCTGTCTATGTGCCAGATGCCCCAAAAAATACAAGCCACAATTAAGGCACTAGGAAAGACCAATGAAGGGAAAATTGATAATCTAATTTTCTCAATTCCAGACTGAATCCTGGAAATGTTTGCTAGTTTCAAGACTTCGTCTACAATAGCCAGTAAAAGGAATATAATTTGCAGAATCTACAAAAAATTCAACAACACCTCAATTAATTTGTTAAATGTTTATTTTTTGGGAAATCCGCTTTAATAGATCTGACCGTTGTTCGGTAATAATTGATCTGGAACATTATTGTAAAGTTTAACTTTTTTTTCGTTTGCATCGTTTATCTTGCAATTACTGCTATCCATTGATTAATTAACTTGGAGCAATGTCTCGTCGCCGCATAATTAGCTAATTAACTTTAAAAAGGCCGCTTATAAAAAGGATCGAATTACCACGTCATTTTGTAACTGATGTAATTACATAAAAAGTCTATTATCTGCAATCAGTAAATATACAGGGGGAGTTTTTCTCATTTTTTTATTTTATTTATTATTTTTATTTTCATTTCATTATTTTCTTTTTCTAAAATTTGACAGCTGTCAAGAGATATTTGGGAAAAACTTATTTATGGTCAATTTTTAAATTACTCCTACTTCCGTTGATATTAATTTGGCAGGAAAATATTAAGTAGAAAACTTGTAGGAAATTGAATTCTAAACAAAATGGCATAAGATATTTCTCTAAAATAACTGTAATTTTTGACGTATAACACCAATTTGAGTTTTTTTAAATGACAACCATACTTGATTATTGCTTTGCCGAATAGAGCATTTTATTACGATTTCTGCGATATATCACATCGTTAGGTTTTTTTCGAAAATTAAGTGTCTGCAAACAATGTATACCTACTTTTTCAATTTAGTTGATCGAAGTTAGCCATGGAAAATATATAAGACATTGGATAAGACTATATATAAGCATTGTTTCCATAGTGACAAATAATTGTATGTTGTATTTTTAGCTTAAATTGGACAAATCGATACTTAAATAAAAAAAAACAGGTTTTTGTTTGTTCAGCTAATCTTGAATAGCTTAAATTTTTTCTTTAGCGTTTCGGTTATATTTCTGGAATTAATTGAAACACGTTTTAGCAATATTTAAAGGCTCCTTTATTTTGATTTATTTTCCTGACTACGTGTACTTGTTATAATATTCCTATCTTTCCTGGGTCTCAGTCAAAGTGTGAAGTAAAAATTTTGAAACTCGTTTATTTCATTACGTTTCGGCGAGATAACAGCGCCATCATCAGATTTAAAATTTACACAAACTACAAACACCAATTCACAATTAAAACATGATGTAAAAAATTATAAATTACAAAGTGTTAAAACATGCATCAGTTTTTGAAGAAAAAAATTCTTCCTTTTGGGAGAGCAAAACACCGAAAAACTTACCGCATGATTGGTAAAAATCGACGCTCTTTTAGGGGATTGCCTTCTTGAAAAATTCAGTTTGATTGAATTATTTTCTACATTTGCGAGAGTGGTATGCATGTATTGAGATAAGCAGAAATAGTTTTAATTTTTCACTAGTGTACCGAGTGTTCCATACTTAAGGCTTTATTAGGGTTTGGTAAATGTTGCTAAGGTTGTCGGTATCTGATCTGAAATTTACTGCTTTTGCATGTTTTTTTATTTGTATCATTTCTTGGATTCTTCATTTATGATAATTTGTTTCCCTAATTAATATATCTGCGTTGTCCAAATCAAAATTATGTAACATTTGGTGTGCATGTTGTACGACCAATCGTCAACAATGTAGGTACACCAACTTACAACTTATCAAAGTTCTTCTCCACAATTCTAAGAAATGTCTTAGGACAGTCAGAGTATCATATTAAAGACTCTTGGAATTTCTGTGAATTTATCAAAAACCAAAAAATACCACAAAATCACTGTTTAGTATCGCTTGATGTAACATTATTATATACCAATATCCCAATTGAATATGCAATCGAATGTATAAGAAATAAATGGAAGGAAATCGAACAACATTCAACAGTTCAAGAAAAAGAATTTATTGAAGCGATAGAACTATGCCTAAAATCTACATGTCACGTTTGAAGACAAATATTATTCACAAATATACGGTGTAGCAATGTATATCAGCAACAATTGCAAACCTTGTTATGGAAAGCTTGGAAAAAAACATAATAACAAGCCTAAATTATAAACCAATTTTCTTTAAACGCTATCTAGATGATTGCTTAATGTTTTTATCCAAAGATAAAGTTCAATATACCGTAGATAAATTCAACAATTTTCACGACACTATAAAATTTACAATAGAAAAGGATAAAAATCAATCAATTTATTTTTTAGACATAACAGTAAATTATGATAATTCAGGTGAAATAAAAATAAATTGGTATACAAAACAAGTTTGGTCAGGAAGATATTTAAACTATAATTCATATGGACCCCAAAAATATAAAGAAAGCGTAATAACTGCACTTACAGATAGAGCTATAAAATTATCATACCCAAATTACAGATAAGAAAATTTTTAAAAAATCAGAAAAATATTACTTAATAATAACTACCCAAAAATTTTTTCTGAACCAATAATAAAGCAAAAAATTAACAAAATTTACAACTCAACTAAATATAACAATAATGAGGAACAAAGAAACAATACATATATATCACTACCATATATTCCAGAAATCAATAGGAAAGTTTCAAAAGTACTAAAGCCACACAACATTAGAATTGCAGAAAAAACAAAAAACAACTTATCAACTGAATGTTTGCCAAGACTGAAACCAAAAACTGACAAAATGGATATACCAAATACTGTATATAGAGTGAATTGTTTAGAATGTGATAATACATATAGGGCAAACTAAACAATATTAAAAAAAGAGAATGTACGAACATACAGTCTGAGAAATACTACTGAAAATAAAACAGCATTAATACAACATGCACACCAAATATTACATAATTTTGATTTTGACAACGCAGATATATTAATTAGGGAAACAAATTAGCATAAAAGAAGAATCCAAGAAATGATACCAATAAAAAAACATGCAAAAGCAGGAAATTTCAGATCATATACCGACAACCTTAGCAACATTTACCAAACCCCAATAAAGCCATAAGTATGGAACACCCGGTACACTAGTGAAAAATTAAAACTATTTCTGCTTATCTCAATACATGCATACCACTCTCGCAAATGTAGAAAATAATTCAATCAAACTCAAGTTTTCAAGAAGGCAAACCCCTAAAAGAGCGTCGATTTTTACCAGTTACCAAGTTTTTCCGGTGTTTTGCTCTCAGGAAGAATTTTTTCCCTCAAAAACTGATGAATGTTTTAACACTTTGTAAATTATATTTTTTATACAACATGCTCTAATTGTGAATATCATTTAAAGGCATATGTATAGAGTGTATTTTGGTAATGAATGGGTTTATTTTGCATTAAATCTTCTTCCTACTTTCTTTCTCGTTTACAGAAGAGAAGTACATATTTTAAGTCCACAGCTTTAAGATCGTTAATGTTATAAAAAAATTGATGCGATTATTCTGCAATTAAAAACATTATTCGAAAAATTTATGAATCGATGAGAAACTTTTGGACATAATCGCATTTCAAGAAAATTACTCAAAATTATATAAAAAACAGCAAAGGCATCCAAATGAAGATACAGATGATTTTGAAGCACATCAAGCAAAACAGCAGAGTTGGTTCTGTTCTGATTTAAAAAAATCCCGCTACTGGCTCAAAACATGCGACCGAGGCAGATTTAGACTCTTGAGGGTCTAAATCTAGCTAGCAGTTCGGGTCTCTTCCTTTTTAAATGATTAGTGAAAATCACTTGGGTGGCATCTAGAACTTTGGGCTGGAAAACTATGGAAACTACGCTCAAAATTCTAAATTCGGTCGAAGATATTTCACTATGAACCTAAATCTGAAAAGGTTCAATACATAGTTCCGTATAAACTCGTTAATCAAATGTAATTGTTTTTGCAGCATGCCGAATCATTAATGGGTAAATCCAGCCCTGCACATTCAATTTTTAAATCTGCAAAACGCTGGTAGATTTATGCGGTTTAAGTGTTGGCCATCCTGTACAAATAACTCTTTTTGCATTATAAAAACGATATATCAAGACAATTAACCTGATTTAATCATTAAAATTACGTTATCCGGATTTAATCCGTTGTTTAATTTGCATGTCAGGACATAGGACATAATTTTTTAAAAACTTTGAACCGCGATTACAAACAGTAATAAATCTATGCAAAACGCATATTTACAAATATTTTGTTTTGGCACTGAACTGATAAAGTTTTGCTAATGATAAGAAAATGAATTTTAAAATATGTAGTAATTTTTTCTGAAGAAACACTCGAAAAAGGAAATATTTGTACATCTGTGACCCAGATTGTTCAGATTTACTTGTTTAGTCTCTGATAAAATACACGTTTGCTGTTATCACAGAAGATTAAAAAACGAGTTTTGTTTTTTATTTAATATTTCATTAATGTTTCTATACGGATAATAAAAAGCATATGGACACACAGACATTAGGACTATGGAAAATTACATATTAATACTTAAGTCATGCAATAAACAAACCATTTTGGGAAAAAGAACACCAAATGAATTGTTGCTCAACTAAAATACTAGTTTTTTTACCGAAAATTAGTTGTTTTTTTTTTCAACGCAACAATACATTAATACTCAATTTTCTCTTTTAACATAATAGTAAACATATTTTCATTACTACAACACACCTCGGTTGACTTTCGAATAGGTATAGTTTTAAAAAACTAAATAAACATCAGACAGCCGAATATTTCTTAAACATGAAAAATGGGGTTTCCAAAAAAAATAGTTCAACATACTTACAAAGTTCCATATTGTAAAATAAAACATTGAAAACTTCTTAATTATAATCAATAATTGATATTTAGGGTTTTCAGGGAAGTTTGCCCCATTCAGTTTCAGGCTGTGGTATACGATTGTGAATAGATAAAATCCTAAAATCACTCCATAGAGAAGTATTGAAGCCAAACTACCACCTTTTTTCTTGCTTTCAACATTCTGATCTTGAACGTTTCGATTGTATGAATCTACGCGAGACATTTTCCGACATAAAAGTATCGTGCGCCAACTGTTACTTACTACACGTTTGATATTACCGATAGAGAGAAGTTTTAAGCAAGTGAAGTGAAAATCTGACCTTGACCAACTGAGTTCAAGCCCAAACCATTGAAAATAATTGTCTGTCGACTTGTTCTGCTTTGGTAAAATACAGGGTGAGTCAGCGAAGCGAGACCCCCCTTCTTAGATCGTACAGAAATAGCGACTGAAAAAAAACGTTCATATAAAAGTGTTGTTGTTGAGGTTCTACATTGAATTCGAAGCATTTTGGTATAACATATTAAGTGAATTAATTCAATGGTTTTGGACATGACGACATTTAAATATGTGAACGCAACAAAAGTAAACTTTCTTATAATTTTTTAAAATAAAGTAAACGATATTCTTTGAGAACAAATCAAAAACAAAAAACAGATCATTTGCTTTAATATTCCTTTAAAATTGTATCATTTGCTGTTATTATTATTAAGTAAAAAATTAATCATAGTCCAATATACAGGGTGTTCCGTAAATATGTTAAAATATTTTAACAGCGTGTTCTCCCAGTCATTTTAGAGGGGGGTCTTCCTGATAATTTTTAAATTTAAGGTCTCATTTTTGATATATTTGATCTCCAAAATGGCGAAAAATATTAGTTTTTGGTGTTTTTATTTAAAACGGTTAAACATAGAAACTTCAATTTTAATACACATTATAAGCTAATTGAGTGCCATTCTATGGCAGTGTTTTGTAGTTCAGTTTACTTTCATACAGGGTAGAAATGTGGAACCCCTACTTTTGTTTGGTCCGGAACTTTTTTGTGTGCACCTAAACTTTTATCAACATAATTTTTTAAATTACTACAAGTTATTGATCAACTTTTTATCCCTTATTGTTTTTTCCTAAGGGCACTAGTTTGCACGCAAAAAAATTAATCGTTTCGGCTTAACTTAATTACTTACACATTTTGAGAACGACAAAGAAAACTGTTTAATTTTTTTCGGGCAAACTAGTGGTCTTAGGAGAAAACAATAAGAGATAAAAAAAGTTGGTACATAACTTGTAGTAATTAACAAAATTGTGGGATTTATTAAAAAAACGAAAAATTAACTTTACTGGCATAATTTTACTTTGAGCTACCCTGTATGCTCCAAAGTAACAGAAACAAATGCTTTGTTAACAACCACAACACTTTTATATAAACGTTTTTTTTGTCGCTATTCGGTATTCGATGTCGGGGAGGCTCGCTTCCATGATTCACCCTGTATACAAGGATGGTGCAAAGTACATGACTTTTATAGACCCTATAATTATATAGGGTGTCCCATAAGCACATGATAAAAATGGTACTGCGACATTCTTTAGTTCAAAAGAAGTCAATCTTACCTAGCTTTTATTAAGAAAAAATTATTGGCTTCTCTACTATTGAGAGTCAAGGTTCTTTAAAAAACATTCGATTTTTTGTAATATCTGAAGAATGGTAGATTTCAATGAAACTTGCTGTGGATTTGATCCTACTTAAGGCTCATGTTTTGATAAAGCTTAGATAGTGAGGAATTATTGCTTGTCTTTGTACAAAAAGTTTCAGAACTTTTTCCTTGTTAGGTGTAATCAATTCATTTTTTGTGACGATAAACATTAAACTTTTCTCGATATTTTCGTTCTCTTCTACTTCCTTGCTATTAACAATGCCTCCAATATATTCTAATTTTTCTATAGGCATTTATTTTGTTAATAACCATACAACTGGAAACAGCTTGGAATAAAAAAATCCATCAAACTGTAGTTCCTATATAACATCGTTGATTTCACTCGGCTGGTTGTCGCTTCAAAATTAATTAATTTTAATAATTTAAAATATATCTAAATGTATTACCTAGAGTAATTCAAAAGTAAACTAGACAATTTTCCTCAATCAGTATTACAATACAACTTCTGCTTCTTAGACACATTTGTAAAGGGTTAGTAGTAGGAATACGTTTTTTTTCAATCAGTTATAATTAATCACTAAGTAATCAATCATTAAAAAATCACTTGTCGATTCATAGTGAATAATTCGCCTACTCATAGGCTCTCGCAAAGGCATCAGAAGCAGACACTAAAACTTGCAGAATGCATTTCTGATTCAGCTCAGGAGCACGCTGAATGGCTTGACTAATTTCGCTATTCAAGTGCGTTAATTCCTTGAGACTATTGGCCAATTTTTGAATGTCTTGAACATCTTTGTGCAGACTCGAAATGTGGTTTAAAACCTTGCCGAGCTTTTCAAGAGTAGTGTGAAGCTGATTGAATTCCTGCTGAGATTCTATAGGCTGAACATTACTGATGGAGACCTGTTCTAGTTGACTCGAAAGAATGTTGGAAAAGTCCTGTTGTTTGGCAGTTATATTGCAGCTGGAATATAACTGCTCCAGCTCACTCAGGGTGATTTTAAACCTTTGAAGCCACTCATTGCACTCAACTGCGTCTTCGAATGATCTGATTCTAGAGTTAGTTTGCTCTAAGGTGTTTTTCGCCATTTGCAGACTGTGACTTTGCTGCAACATCTGATCATTCATAGACTGTACATGTTGGGCGATTTGATTTTCAATGAACTGCTGCTTCAATAACGCTTGCAAGTACTTGTTATAGGTCAGTCTCAATTCCAAATCATCCCCAACAGGAGCAATATTGCTCTTGATGTGTGGTTCGTCTAATGTTGATTTTACTGCAGTCAAGGTGGATACATCTGATGCTTGGGGGCCTTGAGAGCGTTGCGTGGCATTTAGTGATCTGAATTTTTCAATACGCTTATGGGAACTTGTCAGCTTTCGGTTGCTCATTGCGTTTACAAGCGATTATCACTGTTTACACCGTTAATACAAAAGCAAATGTTTTAAAAAATTAAGGTTAAGCACTGAACTCGAGTAGTCATTACATCATTGCCACACTTCACAGAGCTTCATATTCTGTAATCTATGATTGTTGGGATAGAGAGAGTTGACGTGATTTTTGTTTTTTTTATGGAAAAGTAGTAATTTCAAGGATAGTTCAAATATTATGGATTATTGATAAAATTGAAAAAAAAACGCGAAAATCCAACATACATACAGAACATGAACAGCAAAAAACACTTTAAATTAAGCAGTTTAAGGGAAAGAATTTCTGGATGGTCCATAAATTAATCCAAAAATACTTACAGTTTGAGGACCATCACGATTTTCAAGCTAAATTTCGAGCGGTATTGCCAAATTGCGCAAAACATTCTATTTTCAATTCGTTTCTAGGATGGATGAATATCTCCTAGGGGCAAAACTGTTTATAAATGGGTAAAATACGGGCAATACCACATTTTATGATGCGACAGGTGATGAAAGAAGCAAATATCCGTCTGACTGCTCGTAACTTTGGCAACAAAGAAAGCTAGGTTAGTTTCATCGTTTCCTGTCTCTGTCAGTCTACTTGTCTTCATCTATGCTGTCAGTTTTAGCCAGAGCTTGTCATCAGACTGTTCTCTGTTATTATTTAAAGTCTGCCCTTAAAAGTATCTGTGAGTTTAATTAAACCAACGCGAGATTCTCTATCATTTCGTCTTCAAAGTGAATTTGGTTTTTTGTCCAGGCAACCGTTTTAATGACGATAAGTGGGGGCTCATCAAAATTTCTGTCTAAGATGGGACTAAAAGGCCACATTTCACCAGGAATGAGGTGCCAGAAATGTCTTGAATATGGACATTGGTCATTCCAATGTATAGCGCCGCGTAAGTTTGCATATAGATCTTCAAGATCGGAACTTCTCGAGCGAGCGATGAAAGAAAGGGCAAAAAAAGCGAAAGTGCTTAAGGAGACATTAACAAGGAAGATGCAGCAGGCATTGGCAAAGAAGAATCCAGAAAAATCAGCAAAGAGAAGCCGGAGTTCTTTGAAAGAGAAATCTTCCAGCAAATCGAGAAAACGGAGGGACAGTTCCAGTAGCTCCAGCAGTTCAGATAGTTCAACGAGCAGTAGCAGTAGTAGTAGCAGCAGCAGCAGTAGTAGTGACGACAGCAGCACGAGCGAAGAAAGTAATTAAGTAAACGAATCTTATATATTAATTCCACTTAACAATTAATTACTTGATTTTTTAAATAAAACTTGCACCCTAAACCAACTTTTTTTTTATTTCAAATAAAACAAACACCTGTTTTAACAAATATATTTATTTAAAAGTGGTTGGATTTACTGAAAACATCGATCTGAACTGGATGCTCAAAACTTACTTGTCACAATGTGGTTGTTAGTATCGTTTTATGTATGGAGTGTGAAGTCAACTTTTCAATACAGTACTTTGTATTTGTTTTGCTGCCCTACAAACAATTAAATAAATCGGACACGTGCCAAGTATAGAAGGATGAGCGTTTTTTTACAGTTAAATTCCCAATATTTTACTTTTTTCCCTCATATTCCCTTTGCTTCTGGAAGGTTCAAGCAAAAATCTTTCAAAATTCCTTTAACTAGCAACTTTTAGATAAAATTATTGTTAGAGTGTTATATTAGGACCCCGTATCTCTAAAACTAGAGCTAGAGCCTTTCAACTTATATAGTAAAATACATATCCATAACGTTGGAGATAAAATGTGTCCTTAAAAATATCGTCTTGAAACGGTTTAATACATTTTTAGAAACAAAAAAACCACGAACAGCCAAACATTGTAGCCGTTTTACCCCTATCAAAAAACACTTTTTCATAAGTATTCATTTTTTGGAAAGTGTTTAAGATATTTAAGTGCTGAAATAAACAACCCAATTCACTTTTCTTAACTAAAATTTAAAGAAATTGATAACGAACTAAGATAACTTAATTCACTTAGAAACTTTCTTCCTTACACTTTTTTGATAAACGCAACGATTTCAAAATAAAAAAATTAAATGTTAAATATTTTATTGGATTTGCTCTAGATGTAAGACGTGAATTCTTAGAACAGTAAGCGCAATTCAGTAAAATTATTAATTTTAAGTTCAATATTTAATAAGCAGGCAAATCTTAGGGTTATTGTTTGATATATGAAACTTTCAGTATCTTGAGAGCCTCCTTTTCTAGAAATATTAAACATTTCAAGTCACTACTTGTGAGTGAGTTCAGCTGAATCATTAATTTTGAAACTGATAAAATAAGCTGGTAAAATTCAGGATTTTTGGTGATTCTTATGAAACTTTTAGCGTAGTGAAAGTTAAGTGTCTTCTAAACATTTAAAAAAATAACTAAAAAAAGCAACATTTAATAAGGTGGCAAAACTCAGGGTTCTGGTTTATTTCTACGAAACTTCGACCATCTTTAGAACTCAGTGTGTTTTAACGACGGTGAAAATTTCAAGTGACTGTCTACTTTAGTTTGGAAGATGTGAACTTTTAAATAAGTGGGCACTATTCAGCAGAATCATTAATTTTTAGACCGACATCTAATAAGCCGGCCAATCTGAGAGTTTTAGGTGATTTTTATGAAACTTTCAGCTCAGCATGGGTCATCTATTTTCGAAAGATGCTGAAACTTTCAAGTCTCTACTTGCTTGAGTTAGGTAGATGCGAAATTTTAAAGGAGAGAGCGCAGTTTAAAAAAATCGATAATTTTCAGATTGGCATGGAATTGGCGGGCAAATTGGAAAATTATTGGTGATTTTCCCAAAACTTTCGGAATATTTCTGTCTTGTAATGTAAATGTTTCAAGTTGCTACTTGTTTCACTCTGGATGATGAGATATTAATTTTTCTATGAGAGAAACCAATTTAGCAGAATTATTAATATTATCAATATCAATACACTTCTATAAACCATAACAAACTTATGGGCACTTTCCTGGAAATATTATTACTATACTACTTATACCGCTCCTACCAACTTTACCAGTTTGGCAGCATGTTCAAGCAACACCCTTTCTTCTACACAATGATTTATATATGTGAAATATTTTGCTTTCCTTTACACTTAGTACTTACTCATATTTAAGGCAATCACTGTGAATTTTATACTCCATGGTGGCACTTGGTGGTATGTTTAACAACCTTTTCAACGCATCACGAATTCGAGCAATCATTGGCTGATCGGCCGAGTTTCGGTTCCAAACACTTAATATATATTCCTGATATCTCGTCGAGACTACAACACCACATATTTCATTCCCTGCCTGCAAAATGGGAACAATGCTGTTGGGCAACGCCTGTTATTTTTATGTGGCTGGTTTTTACCATAAATTGTTCCCCTAGCATTGCCATGCATAGGTTCTCCCATGCTCTGGCCGCTTGTTCTTTTTTAAGTCTAATCACCTACGAACACACACATACGCAAGGGGAATATTTAGAGAAAAGGCAAATGCATACCCATTTTCCGCCTTTCTTATTTGCAGGGTCTTCCCACATGGGCCTAATTCCTTTCTTAAACAAGTGCAAATCTCTGTGAGTTGGTATATCGTTTAATCTGAACAAGTGAGAGTACAAAGCCCACCATTGCTCGACCGTACCCACTTGCCCCACTAATCGTAAAGCTCTTCCATAGTTTTGTAAACCTAATAAATAATGTACCTACTGAATATTTTTTCACACATTTCCGCAGATCTACCTACATTGATCAAAAGTTGTACCTTGTATTTGAGATGGCCGTTTTGAGAACCACAAACAGTATGCATGCTGGAGCTTATGCTCCCCTTGCGGATAATCCACAGGGCCCAGGTCTGTTATGTTAGGGCCAATATCGTCCTCATTGTCAGAGTTATCATCATGATGATATTTCAATCTGCAAATCAGAGGCAGTTAATATAAACCCCTCCACAAGTAAATGGTGTGATTTAAAAATCTGTATGTTAAAGTAGGACAAATAATGTAAACAAAGAAGCGCGTGGATACTTACGTTTCGTATTTATTGGACATGATTTGAAACTAGTTAAGTTGAATAATATACAAAAATACTATTATCACAGTCAGGGCTTATTTTCAATCAAAGAATAATGTTTATTTTTAGCCTATTCTTTGAGTAGTAACTACGACCTTGAGCACTCTCGCGTTTTCCTCTTAAAGCTTAGGTTATCACCAGATTTGGGGCTGCCGCACAACTATTTCCAAGAGCTTTTCCTGGAATCCTTCCAAATATCACCGGTAGCCTATCGTATTAAGTTAAAATTCGGAAAATATGATCAAATATGGATTCGTAAACAATAGTAGTTCAAACGTGCACAAAAAGTAACATGCAGTCAATGTCAAATTGACATCAAACCATTACCGAAATTCTCCACGTTGTCAGCAGCGCTTGTTTTTTGACAATAAAATTCCCAAAAGTTAATTTTCGCAAAGTAATTATATTTTTACAGGTATATACAGGGTGATTCAAAATTGGCGTCATTCCTCTGGAGGTGTTGAGGAGTGCTAAAAAATTAATAAAAAAAATTATTTGCTATTAAAAACTGAGAAATTAGCAAAATCTATATTAGGAAAACGGCAACAATGCTTTTCAAGGTAATCTACCTAATTAACATTACATAAATACCTGTTGCTTCGTAATTATTTAAAACTCCGGTAACCATGGATAAATAGAGAGTGACAATAAGATAGACAGGATAAACGGTAAATTCAATAGGATTCGTTGAATGACGGAACCTATTTCGAAACTCATAACCTCGAATTATTAATTTGTTCACAAAGTACAAAAACATACGTTTGAGTTTGTAACTCCAAACAAGTGCCTGTGTAGTCAAGTTATTATGTACTCTTCTCGAGCAGCTTCTTGTAGTAGGTTAATTAACTCCTCAAATTATTCCGGTATTCGGTAATCCATTGGTTTAATGTGATCTTACATACGTGATAGGAATGTAGCTTGTATTTATTTGGTGCCTGGGAAAGCGACAGTTGTTGTGCAATGTTTTGTGTGCCCCTGAAAGGCTCTTCTACAATCATGTCCAATACTTGTTCCTCTGTGTCTGGAACCCGAACATCTTTTGTTGTCCACAATCTTCCTCGAACCACTCTCCTCGCCCCTTGTTGGCCTGAGTTCTTTCAGCTTTTGCTGTTRCTGTAGCATTTCCCCTGAACTAATCGTATATCCGCAAATTCGTGAAAGGAAATTCAAAGTAAGTCACAGTTTGACAAATTATTGTTATTATTAACAACAAATTATTGTTATTATTAATTATTATTGTTCTCGTACTGTCTAAGTGAGCCCCTATTACCCCTTAAAAGGAATGACGCCAATTTTGAATCACCCTGTAGTAAGATAACTTTAATATATTTTTTTTTATTGAGAACATAAGTGGCAAATTTATGCCTCCAAGAGCCACTTCAAAAACAAAAATAATTGAAACATTTCTCAAAAATTTCCTGAGGATGACTCAAAATCGAATCTTTTGCCACTTAGAAAACAGACTACGCCCAAAAAGACATACTAAAGTACTTTTTAACTGGTTTTTGAAGAAATAACTGTTAAACTTCGGCCTAGACAAACTAGCGCAAAATATAAAATACAACATTCCTGATAATTACCTGAAAATGAGTCAAAATCGAAACGTTGTCTACTTATAGAGCAGACTTTGGGCTACACATTAAATACCAAAGTGACTGCGTAACTTTGAAAGTTTCTGAGCAAATAAAAATAACTGCAAAAACCATATGAACTTTGCAAAACGCCTTCAAACTGCCTGCTGATGACTGAAAAGCCAAACCTGTGCTACCTTTAGTACACATTTTTTACTGCAAAATACATGCAAAGGTGACGTTCTCAATTCGTTAGTGGCTGAACAAATAATACGAATGTCCGGTCTGTAAAAAACTTCGTAAACCAAACGTATTTGGAAACTTTGTCTGATGATGACAGACAATCGAAACTGTCTACAAAAAAGGATTTATTGCCCTATAAAATGCATGCAAAAATTACTTCTTCACATCGCAAGTTACAGAGAAAAAATTTTTTTTACGAATTCTTGAGAATTTTTCTGATGATGGATATCGAAACGTTTGTCACGTTACACAAAGTTATTTATAGTAAGTTATTTATATGTACAAGTGGGCCTGAAGTTGCATACAGCATTTCTACCTATAGTATGTAGTCTAACTTTTAAAAATGTTTTTATAGCTTTTTCTTTTCCTAATCACGATTGCTGTAGTTTGCTAGAGAAACCCAAGAAATACTGGTAGATTTTTCAATAAAACTTCATTTCATTGTAAATCATTATTCCCTCTGTTTTATGGAAATATTTGTACTTTATTAATCTAGATGCCAGCAGTTTAGATATCAGTATATCTACATATCAAAACAACAGAGAATACAAAAAATACATGCTTCTTAGTAATGACTAGCTGAAGTGCGAATTGCACTTTAGCGGAACTGTTTTTTGACCCAAAAAAGAATTAATTAGGCGCTTCGGTCTTTGTGTTAGTTTACAGTGGTAATGTTACAAGAAAATACCTAATCACCAAATTTTTAAAAAAATCGACAATATCATTAGGTACTAAAAAACCTTTATTTTAGAGTTCTACACATAAAGATTTGCAAGCTTGAGGTACAGTATTATTATCAGTTAAACAATATTTACTTCTGTTATTATTTTTCACGTTCAGTTCTGTTTCTCTAACCATTTTATCATAAAAATATCTCTTTAGCCCTTCTATATTGCAAGAATATCACACGAAAATGCCTATATACATACAGGCAGTACTTACAAACTACTATAAAACTAGTTTCGTTTTAAAATATTTTTAAAATACACAGTATTCAGGACATGGTTCATTATAATCCTGAGAGGTTTTGTTTGAGACATTGGAAGTACTTTCCTATCAACATAATTTGTCTTTGGTGTTCCCATACCATTGGAAATTGCTTTCCAAATTCAAATAGGTATATAAACCGATCACACAAACAAATCAACCTACATCTAAGTAAAAGATAGGTCAATCATCAATGGGTTGGATGGTAACTGATGAACCTCTTTGGCGAGCTGATCTCTTAGTGGGATATTGCAGCATGTATTGACGAGGCGGATTAGGGCTGGGTACATAAATAACTTGCTGGGATAACTGCTTGCCTCGCAGCAAAGTCACTATCATGGACAAAATGCCAAATAGTATTGATCGAACCAATTCAATGCATGTAATCAAAATGGGCGTGCACACTTCAATAATTTTGGAAGTTTGATTCATTACTTTCAAGGAATATTCCATCAAGTATTTCACAAGGTTTATTGCCCCTGCTATTATTGTAGTCAATAACAAAGACAAGAAGATTACGGTGCTTCTTATATTCGTCAATGTTAAATTGGTTTTAATCCAACTAGTAAAACTTGAGTGAACACTACTTGAAGCATCAAGCAGGGAGGTCTTGAGATCAAAGTCTTGGGACGCACTGATACCAGACGAGTCTGCAGTCGATTGTTCACTCCGCAGTGGTCGTACAACGTCCAGTTTTAATCTCACCTCTTGTTCGGTAAATGCAACCGATTTCACTTTGAACCAATACTTGCCGAAGACTCCAATTGGCAAGACCGTCCACAAACTGTATCCTGCAGGGGCTCCAATTGTATTCGGATCAGTGATTCCGATCCAAGCAGTCTCATTGTAGAACTCTTGTTTTAACTTTCTGGTGACAACTTCGAGGTTTCCGATAAACTGCGTTTCATCCGAGTCGATTCTGACGACGTCTCGGTATGAATCCACGGCTTCCACATAACGTTTTTCCTCATAAGATCCTATAAACAATTGTGTCTTTAACATCCGTTTTGAAAACGTCTTTAGGTATTCTATTTTGGAATCTGTATCCGTGTTATTAAACGATATCTCTGTAATTTTCGTCATTTTTTTCACTGCTCAATTAGACCACCGACTATTAAACAGTAAATATAATGGATGAATCTCAATGAAGAGTACAAACTATTGATTGAGGGAAGATGAATCACAGAGAAAACATCTGACAACTAACAGCTGTTCTGAGTGGTTTCAGCGCAGCTGTCAACTTGATTGGAAAGTGAGACATTGCTGTCAGAGACAAGGAAAATTATTGTTTGTTTCTGTTGCTCTCTGGGATACAGGATAACTTCCAACCGAAACGCTTGATAAACTAGGAAGTTACCATTTATTTTAATCATGTTTTTCGGACTCAAACTGACTAATAACGCAGCTTTCAGTTAAAAAAACAAAAACAATTGTTTTAATACCAGCTACAGCACATACAGAAACATTTATATTCATATTATTCAATTGAATATTATTTTGGATTTTTTTGTAAAATACATATATTTGTTCTGTTTGATTTTCGCTGCTTGTAATAAATTATTGGCAAGCAACTGGCAGCTTAGGCTGTTTCATCTGGCATCGCCGCCGTTGTTTTGTTAACAGGGAGCTCACAGGGAGGAGGAGAGAAGATGAAGAGTCGGTTTCCTTTGCTGAGCAGATTCTGATGTCAGTTACAGACACTTTTCAGTTTTGCAGGAAAATTCTAAATTTCATTGTTCGTTATAACTTCCTGTGACTCATTTTGCGTTGCGATAACCACTAGTTAGGTCTAAAACGACAGTATTCATTCCCAGAAAACCTTAGAAAATGGGAAAGTTGAATGTGCTGGTCTTGGGAGGTAAGTTATGGCTCAAATCAGTTTTCTTTAATGTTACTTCATTAGCCAAGGTTTATTTAAATCCCTTAATATGCCATGCGAAGTAAATAATTCGAAGAACTGATGGATTTATTATTAATATAAACATATCAATTGCTTATACATACATACATGTCCCAATTTATAAGGGCTCTAAACAGTTTTTATCATTTCTGTAGACTCTACCAAGCCAATATACTAAAGGAGTTTTATTCTAACTTAAGGTCAATGTGAGATAAAACCCGTCAGTGTGAAATGTTATCTTTATGAATCTATCAGACTTCTGGGTACCTATTTAATGATACGGCGATAAACCGAACAATCAACATGATACATACGTAAAGCATCTGCGAACAAATACCTAATTATACTTTATTCAATTTGGCCTAATTTTCAGAATGTGCACAGCTATTTGTATCAAATAAATATAAGTTTGTATTACTTGAAGGCTTGAAAACTCAGCAGGAGCCAATTTGGGGTACTATTGAAACGCCTAAAAATAAGTCATTATTTCTGTTTGATCAAACGATGGCCACAAGTGCTATAACATGCCAACAAAAGGGTCGTTCCACAAATTTTTTTTTTCATTGAAACTTCTCCGAAACCTAGCGTGAGGGTCGTTGAGATCAATGCCTAAAATAAATATAATTTATTATGCCATCTGGGGTTGACGATATCGATACTTTATGATATTAGCTTTCTTGTAATCGGACCATGTAAGAGCTTGTTTGACTAGATCTTCTGGCTTCTGAATTTCAATTTTACCAATCTAAACTTTGCTATAATGTGCACGAAAATGTATAGGTTCTTTAGACGTTTTTTAACTGTATTAGATGGCATCCAGACAATTAAAGTCTTTAACATCTCGCTAAGTAATTGAAGGGATTTTGAAAAAAATCTACTCGTACTTACGGAAAATTCAAAATCATCACCTAGTTCAGCAAAAGTTTTGCCAAGGCGAATTTTTTGTAGAACTAGATAAATATTTACAAAACGCAATTTTGTAGTCTCTCTAAGTAGCTTAATTATAAATAACGTTTTATTTATACTCAGGTATAATATTGCGTCTAAAGCGTCATTTATAATGTTAAGTCTATTATATTTCAAAACTACGGCTCGTACAGGAGCGCCACAACTTCGTTTTCTGTCTTTTTGGCGCGCAAATTTATGTAGAACAACATATTTTTCCATTCTTTTCTGAACTCCCATCATTTTCCACTCCATGTCTTTTTCAAGCTGTAAAGTAAAATAAACAAAAATTGAACCTTATGAAACAAAGGTGAAACCTAAACCTAACAAACACACAGTGTTAAGAACCCTATAAATAATATTGCTTTTATGCGAACTTACATCGAAATGATCCTCACAGGCATAAATGTTACTTTTTGCAGAAAGATCGGTGCAGTTTCGCCGCGCTGCTTTCAACCACAATTTCCGTTTCTTTTCGTTCAATGGCACTTTTACAAATGTTTTTTCTGGTGTAGGCGTAGTGGTACACGTACACTGTGGCACCATACAATACTAATAAGCCATTTTAATTTAAATAATTATAACAAGCAAACCAACACACAATATTCACATTAGAGCATGGAAACACGTATAAGCGCTGAATGTGGCGGAGCAGAATCATGCTTCGTTACGTCACATTACGATCAGCCAAAACTCGTCGTTTCGGCGCGCTTTGTCTAAATTTAAACTTCGACTGCTGATAGATTTGTTACGACTAGACAGAATATGCAAAGAAATTGTAGGGCTCTTATTTGTTCGTCAATAATTAATTTTATGAAAGAAAAACACTGGTTTAGGTTTTGGAATTGAATCTGCTCAAATATCAAGATTCTAACTAAGGCTTTAACGATGATGAGCTGCAAAAAGCTTTCCTGCAACATTCCTCCTTCTATTCTGTTTCCAATGTATAATTGTATGATTTGTTACTATTTTAATAAATCGCTTACGAGGATAGGGCTCCAATTGTACATAGCAGCGTTAAAACCATTATAATCACTCATTAAACACTATATATTATACGATGACCGGTTGTGAACTTTCGATTAGAAAGTTTGTGTAAAATGTTTACTACTTTTTTTACATTTTACAGTATTAGTATTGTTATTATTGTTGCCAAGTGCCAAAAATAAAAACCTATTATTATTATTTTTTTTTAAATTCTTGTTTGACAATTTTAAGTAATTACAAATAATTCGACGAAAATTCTGCTCAAAACATTATTCTAACAGACTGTGAAAGCTTTCACGGCCGGTTAAATCACATTTAGAAATGTTTTTCGGGCTTTGAAGCCGTGGTCCATGGGAATTTCTTCCTGACGTTTCGTCCACAACTGCGGTGGACATTCTCAAAGGCGATGAGGCATAAATACGACAAGGGATCCAGTAGTTGAACCAGTCTTAGTCGGAAAGCACTGGCGATCACTTCGCCCACCAAATTCCCATGGATCACGGTTTTAAAGCCCGTAAATATTTCTAAATGTGATTATTCTAACATTTCGGAAATAGTGTTGTTGACACATAGTAAATCTTCCAATCACTCTGTAAGTTAGAAGTGATCTTCAATTTTGATTACATTAACTGTTGCTCATTTTTTAGGTTGCGGCTTCATCGGAAGACATTTGATCACTTATCTAGTAAATAATGATATTGCGAGCTCAATCACAGCAGTAGATAAGGTGCCACCACAAATTGCGTGGATGAACGAATACCATAAACGGATTTTTGAACACGATTTGGTTCATTTTAAAAGTGCAAATCTGATTAATGCAGGTGAAGAAATCTTCTACAAGTTTTCCAATGTCTGAGTGTACACATAAGATATTGATTGCAGAGTCTTGTAAAAATGCATTCAGTTTGCCGGATGGTTCCACTTGGGATCTTGTGGTGAATTGTGCTGGGGAAACGAAGTCCAATCAAACGGATCCAGTTTACAAAGAAGGCATTCTAAATTTGAGTCTGAATTGTGCCAAACAAGCAGCGTTGCAGGTATTTACAGCATAACTCGCTGTCCATTTATTCAGCCACTAATCCTAACTTGAAACTATGAACCCATGAATAAAAAAATCAGTTGTTTCCAGCTACCAAACAAAAAGTTCTGAGTTTTTGTACCAAGACAGTCAAGAATTCCTCACTTGCGTAATAAATTAAAGCGGATAAACTCGGTAGTTTCTTCAAAATCTGATTTCTACAAATTTACAGTGAGCTACATTAAAATCATTTAGTGTCATAGTTCTACTTGAGAATAGCCTGCTTGAACTTGTTATTTTTACAGAATGTTGGTAAATATATTGAACTCTCTTCGGGCAACATGAATTCCTTTGAAACGATGCCACATAAAGAAGGAGATCCCCTGGAACCATGGGGATTTATTGCAAAGTGGAAACTTGAGGTAAGTGAAAAACGTTTTGAAAGCAAACTATGTGTCTCGACTAATGTTTTTCTATCAGGTAGAGAAAGAGTTGGCTAATATTCCAAATCTGCATTACACAATCTTACGTCTCCCTTTAGTGTATGGTGTCGCGGATAAGAACTACATTATGCCTCGCATCCTAGCAGCTGGAGTTTATAAAGAGCTGGGCGAAACAATGAAACTCTTATGGACTAAAGATCTAAAGCTCAATACTGTGCATGTAGAAGATCTTTGCAGGGCCATTTTATTCCTAAGCGAAAGAACTGACTCTTTAGGCCAAGTGAGTTCATAAAACGCTTATTTCTATTGCGGAAAAGTAAATATTTGTCGCTTGTAGATTTACAATGTTGTTGATGAAGGCGATACCACTCAGGGTGTTATTTCGCATCACTTAGCGGAAATTTTTAAGATAAATGTTGAGTACTGTGGAAAATTGGTTTCATCTTGTATTGATATTAAAAGTGCAATAAATGAGCTAAATGACAGACATTTGGTAAGTGAAATATTCTCCAAGAAGTTTTAAAAAATCAAGCTTATTGGTATGTTATATAAATAAGGTTCCATGGGCGGAAGCTTGTCAAAGAGACCAGATTGTAAATACTCCGCTTTCTCCTCACATGGATGGCAGCTGGCTGCAAAATAAATCTCTAAACTTGGATGGAACTAAACTGAAAAACTTAGGTTTTGCCGTCGATATTCCTCGAGTTTCGCAAGAAAAGCTGGAGGAGATCGTTCAAGATTACATTGAAATGAAAGTTTTCCCACCTTCCTGGCTCTCATAAAGTTGAGAGACATTTGAAAAACTATCCCCAGTCCATATTGTATTGATTTGGAAAATTATGAAGCTTGGATTGGGTTGCAGTTTCATAATAAAATTAAAATGGAACAAATGTTCTACGTGAAAAAAGCAATAAATTCCTTAAGCAGGGAAAACTTATGTCTTGATTAGTTCAAGCAATAATCAATCTTAACTTTGAGAAGACTGCTCAAGCTTTCCAGATATTGGAACTTGATTGTATTTAAATTCTTATGGCAATGGCAATATTGGGAAAATTAATGGATAAATAACACCAAATTATCTCCCTTAAGTATATTGAGCATTTAGTATGTATTTAGAATAGGATAGCCCAACCGCCTACCTGCCCTCAAGTGTCTTAATGTACTGCGTATGCGACTTAACTATTTAAATGTTATGTGTATCGTATTTTAATATGCTTTTTACCATGTAGGCACGTTCAAGTGATTATAAAGTGCTTAATTTTTGCAATTGCTACATTCCATAGTCATAATGTGATGAAGAATTTATTTTAGATGATTTTTCCCCGGAGGATGTATTTACAGTTTTTTTTTGGGCATTATAATATTGTGCATTTTTTAAGCTAAGATTGCTTCTTTATATATTAGTTTCACAATGTTGCATTTGTGTCTTAATGCTCATGTTCCATTTTGCGCGTTACAAATTGCTCAATTTTTCTTTAATTATTAAGAACAATATTATATTGATCTAAAAAATTGTTGAATAAGATACTGTTTACTGTTTGATATTAGCAAATAAAATGTATATTCTTTAAATAATGGAATTTATTTTATTAATTTCTGGTATATTTAAACGACTTACTTTAAAAGCACAGTTTTATTTGCATATGGAAAAAAAATTGGCCTTTAATACTAAATTAAAAATAAAATGTGATGTCTTGGGAGGAAAACAGAGAATGAGATCTTAATAAAGAAAGTTACTAGTTGTCAATTATTACAAAGATATATAATATCTTCTTAAGATAAAAACTGTTAATATAATTTAAAACTTGCCTACCACTGAAATGTAATAAATTGTCATGAGTTTGAGCTGTTCCCAAGTTTCCAAAATGCCCGATATGTAAAGGCAAAAACACTAGTGGTTTTTGAAGTATTTCTGCTTCTCGATAGGATCAGGAATTATCTGCAAACGAGAAAAAAATCTTTAGCAAAAAACAATCCATAGTAGCGGCTGCAATTACAGTATCTTGGCCTGGTACCCATCCAGCAGGGCACACTTCTCCATGTTTGTCGGTATACTGAAACGCTTGAACTAGCCTTAAGGTTTCATCAACACTTCTACCGACTGGCAAATCATTCATTGTTATTTGCCTAACAATTCCCAATGGGTCGATAATGAAAAGACCTCTGTATTGGAGAAATATGGTGTTTAGAAACAAATCAACTTTGGGTTTGTTACGTTACCTTAGAGTATGGCCGGCATTCTCTAAAAATACTCCATAGTCTTTAGATATACTGTGAGTTAAATCTGATAATAATGGGATATTTATTTTGCCCAAACCACCCTGTTGTCTGGGCGTGTTAATCCAGGCTAAATGAGTAAATTGGGAATCCACTGAGCAGGCCACAACTTCAGTGTCGATTTTTTTAAACTCTCCTATTCTATCGCTAAACGCGAGAATTTCAGTTGGGCAAACAAAAGTACTGCAAAAAAGCGTACGTAAAGGCAAACATAAGTTTTTGTTCTACTACTTACAAATCTAAAGGGTAGAAAAATAGCACCAAGTACTTTCCAATATAATCTGTAGATTTTAGCTGAACAAACTCCCCATTTACGACGGCAGTACTCTCCCAAAATGGGGCGCTCTTTGAAACTAAAATTGCATGTTTAGGCTGAGACAAAATGAGCATTTCGGTGTTAATTCAGTACTCTACGCCTGCTGTTAACTGTTACTTACTAACTGCTTTAGTAAATTGTAAATTATGTTGCCTAGTATCTATTGTATCGCTGTGTGGATACACTGTGCCTCCAGCATATTTTACACAAGATTCTTCGTCAAACTGTTGTCCAAACACTACTAGGCCTAACTCCAACACTAGCATGAATAGTTTCATGATGGATGAAACCATGTGGTACCTGAACAGTACCAAATAATCTAGTTAATCAGGTTTTCCTAATTACAGATGCGAATCAGTATCAGTACAGGTTTATCTTCAAGTTATTGATTACACGACTTATCGAAGATAAGTTAATTTCTTTTAAATTTAATAGGAAGATGCAGTCGGTGTTTTATATATTGTGAAGGAGAGCTATCTGAAAAATGCATTTTAATGCTTAGGCTGCTTTGGTATTTTCACTAGCTTTGCTTGAATTATAGATTATAGATAACGCTTTATAGAATAGATACCATAGAAGATGTTACATTTGTCGGCTTTATATATGAGCCGCAACGTTGAGATTGTTTACTAATCTGCACATTTTATTGTTTATAAGGATACAGTTTAACGTGTAATTATATATTGTTTCACTTTAATAATATTAAATTTTTAATGTTACCTGTTTGGGGATATTTTGAATTATTTGACTTCTGACATTGCATGTCACATGAACACCTATGGAAACGTTCCGTGGCATTCACTGAGCAAACAGTCAAAGACGACGAAGAGGCAGTTAATTTGGGCAAATGCTTCATCTATGCTTTGCATTGGATTTATTATTGTATTCTTAGGATCTATAATTTTTTTCGTAATTAACAGTTTCTCCTCTATGCCTATATATACTGATTGAATTTTTCCGATGTCCTTCTTTGTTTAAATTAACACGTAAAAGACAATTTAATTCTTGCCCATAGCACTCTCTTCAGCTCACTTGATCAGATGTTTGATATTTTGAACTAAGTTGAATTGAACTACTATAATTGGTCTACCTTCCGCATTTTACATGTCATTACGTCATTGCCATATTTGTTTACTACTTTCAATTATATATTTATGTCAAAATGTTTGAGGGCTTTGAGTGAATTTATCAAAGTTTGTTGTGGGGAATTTAGTGATAACAGCTGTGCTCTATATTTAAAACTTTATCTATAACTTATTAGCGGTCAGAAACTAATGTGTTGAATGTTATTATTGAATTCGGCAAAGGACAATCTTCCAAAGTTGATGTCATCCTCTGGAAATAGAGATTTCATAGTCTGAACATTAAATCTATATTTCCAGTTAAAAGTGTGTTAATGTTATAGTGCGATCATGCCCAAATAAAGCCGTAATTTAGTGAGTCTCTAAGTTGTCGCGACAATGGTGTTTGAAAATGTGATTTCGCAAATACTCAATAAGGCGTTGGGGGAATTTGTGGAAAATTTGGATGGAAATCAACTGAATATTGGAATATGGGGAGGTAATTTTTAACCTTCACTACTTTATTGTTTTTGCATGTTCCTTTTAAAATATCTGCGATAGTTGAGCGTAAGTCTTAAGTCTAAACTTATTATGTGAACTATAAATTGGTTTTAATCGGTGTCAAGCCCCCTATTTAGATATTAATTTAAGCGTCTACGTGGAAAATTCAACAGGTGCATTTACATTGCAGCTAAAAATGCAGACTTGTGCATCCACGGGGTGTTCCAGAATTCCCATTAGAACAGAATAGTTTGAAAATCACAAAACTTGTTGCTACACAATTTTTTTCTTTACTTTTGTTTGGTCCTGGTTGTTTTGTCCTTGGTCCTTATCCTGTTTGGATATATTTGCTTCTAGTCGCCTTTATAGTTCGGTTTTTGCTGCTTAACTATAAACTATTTTAATTTGATTTATGCCCTGTTTGATTAATTTTTCTTGAAGACTAAAGAAAATTTACTTTCGCTCCATTTGGTAGAGTCGCTAACTAAACTTTCATTCCAGAAAAAATAATTGGGAGAACTGCTTTCAGCCGATGTCCGTCCACTGGTGTTCGTAGGCCTCTCCTTCATGTGTCCATCCACTTCTGTCTTGGGCAAATTGATACAAGCCCTTCCTGCTGTTTTTTTTTGTGTCCGACCATCGCTTTTGTAGTCTTCCGATACTTCTTTTTGTTACCCTCGGCCTCCAGTGTAATATCTTATCTTATCAGATGTTTGTTAGGACGGTTTTCTCCAAAGTGCCGCACCATGGTTCTTTAATTTTCCACATTTAATGAACATTATTAAGCAACAACTTTGCCAAAAAAACGTTTCCATTTGTTCACACATTAAAATAGACGATTGTTTACCCCCAATTTATTCTTGCTGAAGACTGTATTATCTGATTTTCTCACCTGAAACCGGTTGATTCTTGACTCTAATGCGCTGTGATTTATTCTAGAATCTCATGGCTTTAATTTTTACAATAATTCTTTGCAGGAGATGTGAACCTAAAGGATTTGGTATTGAAATCATCCGCTTTGGAATCGCTGGATTTGCCTATTCAAACTGTTTATGGGAAAATAGGTAAATATATACACGAGTAATTATCTCATGGTGACTGTAAAGATAACAAGCCTTGGCATGCATGAGTTCTCTCACCAATGTGCATTAATCATATCCCATTTATATACGGGTAAAATACCTAATATGATTCACCTTGACGATAAATATGCATTTAAGTAGCAATAACATACAGGGTGTCCCGTAAGCTCATAATCAAAAGAGTACTGCGATATTCTTTGGACCAAAAGAAGACGATCTGACCTAATTTTTATTAACAAAAAATGTCCAGCTCCTCTGCTATTGATGGTCAAAGTTTTTCTAAAAACTGTTTTTTTGGAAATATCGGGACTCAATAATTCACCACTTGTTCAAAACGGCTGAACTCGATTGTTTCATCAAAATATGGGAAAATACATCGTACCATTCTCCCGGTATTTCGAAAAAGATAATTTTTTTGAAGAACTTTGACCATCAATAGCAGAGAAGCCGGACATTTTTTGTTAATAAAAGTTAGGTCAGATCGTCTTCTTTTGGTCCAAAGAATATCGCAGTACTCTTTTGATCATGAGCTTACGGGACACCCTGTATTTTCAAATGCGATAATTTTTGTAAATGTCCTAGACAAAAAAAATTATTAAATTAGATCAATATTCCTAACGCTGTTCTTTCAAGGCAACCTCGTATTGAAAGTGCCATGGACCTCAATTTATACCAAACCGACCATTATAATGATAGAGGATGTCTATCTATTGGCCGAGCCCAACCAGCAAGTAGCTTACGATCCTAATAAAGAAGATAAAAGGTTATTGGAGTCAAATTCTATGCCAATTATTTATTGGCAATTTATATGAACAATTTTACAGGCTGATAGAAGCTCGCAGGAAGGAGATTGAAAAAATCGAAAATGCTAAAAAGGCCCAGAAGGAAAAAGGTCAAGCTCCTGAGGACCCTACTTTGGTGCAAAAAGTTATTCAGCAAGTTATTAAAAATGCCCAAGTTTACATTAAAAATATCCACATAAGGTTTGTAGGAATTAAAAGTATCTATTAAAGATATTTATTGATTTTTCCGTCTGATTCCTGATTTGCTGCGTTTCCATCAGATTAAATTGCAAAAATTCTGTAGGACTTTACTATTAAGGCGAAAACAGTGCTCAAACGCACACTTGTCGAAAAGAGGGCCTTAAAGATTATTTTCAGCTTTCTGAATATTTTTGAGAAACTATTCGGTTTTGTGTACATTTTACCAATACTTGAACCTAATTTATGAATTTTAAGTGACATTTTCTCATTTACCAGTGGCTTAGATTTTAGTGTTGAATGGGATTATTTGTCCCCTAACTTCTACGCCATTGAGAAAAATTACAATTTGAAATATACTTAAAAAAGGTAACTTTAGTCAAACACTCTAACATTAAGAGAAAAACCATCTTCATGCTGTGATATAAAATTGTTAAGCCAACGAAATATTAGAATAATTAATTTTGTCGAATTTCTCTTTTAGATATGAAGACAGAGTTACGAATCCCAGTCAACCATTCGCTATCGGAATAACACTTGCGGAATTGGTTGTAGAAAGTACAGATTCCAACTGGAAAAAAGCGATTGTAGAAGAAGTCGCAAAAATTTACAAGGTACTGTTTGGAAAAAAGCTTCTTTCTAACGTTTCTTAAGCACAAGTTGGAACAAACCATCTCTGAAGGTGGAAGCCACTGGTGCTTAAGAACCGTTAGGAAAAAAATATTTCCCACGGCGGGCTAACAGCACGAAAAACTCACCAGTTTGAAACGAAAATATATTAATTAAATTGACTGTAAAATATATTTTTTTAGGTGGTCCAACTGGAAGGCTTGGCCGTCTATTGGAACTGCGGCACCAAAACATACACTAACATGAATTCAACAGAACTGATATCTCACATGAAGAAAGAAATTGCATCAAAAGATCATAAGCCCACTGGCTATAGTTATAGTAAGCCTTAAGTTAAGTGAAAACTTTGTACTTGTTTTACTGCATGTTTAATTAATAGTTTTGGGGCCAATCACTGCCGGAGCTCGATTAAGAATGAACCAAAAGCCAATGTCTGATCCGAAACCATACAGTATTCCCGTGTACCATCTGAATTTGGATATGCACAAACTGTTTATCGGAATCAGTAAAACTCAGTACCGGGATATTATTGCGCTTGCAGATTCAATGGATCGAATGGCAAAAGGAGTACCATTCAGTAAGCAATTATTATTCGCGTAAATTATAACTTAATAAGGGTGTTTTCAGGAAAATACAGACCCAATGTTACTTCTTACAAAGGACATTATAAGAAATGGTGGCACTTTGCGTACAAGAGCGTCTTGGAGGGCGAAGTTAAACGAAGAAGGAACAATTGGGATTGGCGTCATATGCTAGCGCATAGAAACATGGGAAGAGAATACACCGACTTGTTCAGAAAGGGTATTAAAAATTCGGTAAATTGCCTATTAAAACATATAAATGAAAATGACTGAACTATATTCATCGCAGTGTACAAATCCTGAAAAAGTCCGATTGGATGAATGTGAAAAGAAACTAGATTTAACCAGTATTGTGATTATCCGGCAAAAAATCGAACTGGAAACTGAAAAATTACAAGAACTGCAAAAAACTGACAGTAAAGGCTGGCTTTCTGGCTGGTGGGGCGGCTCAAAGAGCTCCAAGTCTAGTTTGACTGATATGGAGAAGTCCACGAATTTGCGTAAGTTCAAGTATACAGGAAATCATTTTGTCGAAATCCGTGTTAAATTCCAGTAAAGCAATTTGAAAAGGAAATGACACCGGAGGAGAAAGCAAGACTATACAAGGCGATTGATTACCAAGAAAATGCCCCTACAACGGTGTTCCCGGAAGAATTTGTCGATAAGTCGTTGAGCTTCCTTTTAAGGTATTCAGAGCACAGAATCACTAGAGTAACATTATTTTGAGGCACATTTCTTCAGATCGCTAGAAGTTGAACTACGTGATGATGAAAATGCTGTAAAATCCGTCGTTTTTACTACCTTAAAAAATGTGAAAGTCAAGCTTGAAACTCGAGTGGCCGCATCTGCAATTAAGTAAGATTTTTTTGGAAACCAACCTTTGAAAGTCTCGACTGTAATATTTTATAGAGCACACGTTGCCATAGACCATCTAAAAACCGATGGTTTGAAGCAGGATGATTTTATGCCAGTTCTAGTTGCTCCCCAAGAACGGGAAGTGAAAGGAATCAAAAGTCTTCTGGATGTGTCTTTTGAAACGAATCCTTTGGATAAAAGGTAAATTTATCAATGTATAATCTGTTGCCAGGTCTTCAAGGGATCGTTCCCATTTCAGTTGCGACCAAAGAATTCATGTGGTGGCCAAACCTCTTAGAATCATCTACGATGCAAGCACTATCAACAAGGTGGTGGATATATTCAAAATACCTCCCGATTCTTCCCTCGATCAGTAAGAGTCAAAGACAGTTCGCCAGCAGAATTTTTAATCAGGAATTCGTTTGTAATTCTTTTAGAATCCAAGCAGCTGCTTCATCAAAGCTTAGCAATGTGAAGGAAATGACATCGACTGGTCTACAATATGCAATCGAGCAACACACTCGCTTAGATATAGATATTGTTCTATATGCCCCGCACATTATAATACCCTATGGGGGAAAATACGAGGAATTAAGAAATGTGTTGGTCATCGATCTTGGTCAGATTAAACTATATTCATCTGGTCAGCGATCATCTGTAATGGAGGTACTTGATCTGGTTCTAGGCGTGAAATTTTTGTAACGAATACATGTGTTGTTAGGTCAGGCGCTTGTATAGTGAGGGCTTAGCCCAGGAGAAGATTTTTGAAAAAATGAAGCTCTACAGCTACGATAAATTCAAATTGGAACTGGCAGATATGCAAGTTCTCATCGCCCAGGGCGAGGAAAATTGGAAAACATACCTAGAACATTCTGCCAGTACTGAAATGCATCTTCTCAGACCATTCAGCTTGAACGTCGAATACTCCAAGTGCCTGATCACAGATGATCCAAGGTGAACACAACTCAACCACGTGCCGAATTATTCGTAAAAAAGTAGTGTTTTCTATTAGATTTCCACTACAGAAAGTCAAATGTGAACTTCCTTCCATTGATGTATCAATATCAGATGCCAGGTTGATGTTGCTGGTTGCTCTACTCACAAGTATTCCATTCCCTGAATCAGAAGAGCCGCCAGTAGAACCATTAAAGGTAAATTTGAATCGCAGTAATAAGGATCGTGTTATTGGATTTGCCAGGGACTAAACACAGAAAAGGAAAGAAGGTTAATATAAAATGTAAAAAGAAGCGTCTTTCCTAGTACTGTTTTTCCATGCTTTCCGATTTGTTCACAGTCGCCAGTCCCGCTTCACAGGCGTGTTTGTTTATAAGCCAAAATTTTCAAACTTTAAAACTGCTGAAAAAGTAATTAAACAGTGAAAAATGGTTAATATAGCAATTGTATATGATAGTTTAAGGGTCCAAGAAGGTACAAAACCGCAGGCGCAAAAAAAATATTCATAACTTTTAACCTGGCACAAAATTGAAGAAAAAGTAATTTTTCCCAAGGAGGTTAATTAACAATTGCATTCTACAAAAACTGTTCGTCCGATCTTAATCGTTCTATATTGCAGTCACGCACTTTTCTCTAAATGTATGGTGTGATTGGGTTATGTTTTCCATTGTTCAATGAATAATTTAAAATTACCTTATTTTTTACCTACTTTTTTGCACATTTTAATGTTCTGCTGTCTTGTTGAAAATTAAACAACGAACAAATGTATGCGATTGTTTCCGGGAAAAAACGCGATTCTCGTAATTTTTGTCACTTTATATTTATATACACATTTGAATGAATTCATTCGGGTCATTTCCGAGAAAACACAAATAAATCACAGTTCGATTTGCAGAAAAATAAGCTAAATGGCTCCACAACCAGCCTGCTTAAATGGCAAGACAAACTTCCAGCAGTTTCAAAGCAAGGGGACAAAGAACCAACTGAATACACTCAAATTCAACTTATGGAAGTTTCAATCCAACTTTCTGGTATGTATATTTAGGTATATGTAAAATTTGACCATATTATAATGTTTCTTTCAGAGGTTTCAGTCATTCTTAACCAGCAGGAAACTTTAACAGCGGCAGTTCGAGAGCTGGCAACCTTTAAAGTCACTTCCCTAGAAGTGGAACTGGTTCAGAGAACCTTCGATATGAACGTTGGTTTGTTGTTAGGCAGCGTTCATTTAACGCAAAATAGAAATGATAAAATCATCGATATCATCAGCACACCGACCCAGGCTGGAAATGACGAGTGCTTGTTTAAAGTTACTTTCATTCAGGTAAAAACCCCGTTTTTTGGTTTCAGTGTTGGGTAAAAGTTCAATGCATATTCCTACTAGGTGGATCCAAAATCGCCAGATTTTCACACCACTTACAGCTCCTGTGAAGCAAGTCTTGGTGTCGACTTTAGCATCCTCAGCATTATACTGCATCAGGAAGGGTTGTTGTCTTTAATAGAATTTGCGCAATCTGTTATGGATACTTTGAACGAGATCACTGCAGACAAATACAAGTTGAAAATGCAGGGTAAGGCTTTTAATGTGAGTCTGTTGATAGTCTGATTTGTTTGGTTCTCAATCAGAATCTGCTGAAAAAGTGGCGAGGCGCCTGTCTTCTATATCCGAAATAAGCGATTCAGTGAAGGTAACAAAGAAAGTCCAACTGAAGAAGAAGCAGCAGATCAAAGTGGAAAGTATAAAGTTTAAATTAACTGCCCAGATCAAAGAAGTCATGGTGAAAGTTGCAACGGATGCGTAAGTGCATCAAATTTCTTTTCAATTGGCATATTAAGATGATTTTTTCGAAATTTTAGACTGGATGTAACATCATTTGGTATCAGGGGAATGAACGCAGATATTTCGGTAAAAACCACTTATACGCAAGTGGTCACCAAACTTCATGAGTTGGTTATTTTGGATCTCAACCCTGCAACGAAACACAATTTAGTAAGTGAACATCCGCAAAAGTAACCGTTTGAAGGAGTAGTTTGTTGTCGATTTTTGCCGATATATTTTCACGCAATTTTTGGAAAACCCGAAAAACTGGATCAACGTCCGATTTTTATAGATTCTTTCAACTGAAGATGATAATGCGTTAGTAGCTCGAATAGTTCTCAACAATTTGGAAGGCGAATCACAGGAAGCCGACATTGATATAGACGTAAAAATGGGTGGAACCAAGATAGTTTTCGTAAATTGGTTCGTTACTAACTTGCTGGTGAGATAAATATTCATTTTATATTACTATGTATTAGTATTCACTTGAGGTACAAACCGAGTAAAAATGTTTGATTTTTAGAACTTCTTGAATCAGTTCCAAGCTGCACAGCAAGCAATCATGGACGCCTCAGAGGCGGCAGCTCAGCGAGCTAAAGAAAATGCCAAAGAAATGTATCAAAAAGCCACCAAGATCGCTTTGAATATCAAAATGAGGGCACCTAAAATTTTTGTGCCCGTAAGCAGCCAGAGTATGGACGCTCTATTGCTAGATCTTGGAGTTATTTCCATTAGCAATCGATTCCTGATGTTGGATGCGAAAAATGAAGTACGTTTCCAGCCTTAACTATGAAGGTTTTTTTCTGATATACTTCAATTTTAGGATGGTTTTTCTGCTGTGGTAGATGACATGAAAGTGGTTCTGACCGATCTGAAGCAATCGAAAGTGGTGGTTGATGCGCGAGAAGGAATTATTGAAGAATGGAACATGCTGAAACCAATCAACTTTGAGATTCGAATTAAGCGCAATCTGTCAGCCAGTTGGTACAAAGCCATTCCAGACTTAGATATAAGCGGCAAAATTAAACTGATCGATTTGCACATTTCACAAGCAGATTATTGCATGATCATGTCCGTGTTGAGTGGAAATTTGCAAGAAGGAAAAGTAATGGATTGTAACACAAACTAATAAGTTAATTAATTAATTTAATCGTCGTGTTTCAGCCTGATCCCGTAACCGTTGTTGAAGAAACAGAGCCAGTGACTTCTCGCATATCTGTAGTTTCCGGCGCGATGCTAGACTCGGGAGTTAAAACTTCAAAGGCCGATTTGCTGATAGAAAAGAAGGAGCAAGTAACAATTTTCCTAAAGTTTGCCTTCACTATGGAAGAACTAATTCTGAACATGTATAGTGGAGGCTTTAAGACGGTGCGTCTTAAGAATCTTTAGTAGAAAAAATATTTAATTTTAACTGGAAAATGTTATAGAATGTTAAATCCACACCAACGATGAAGGCTGATAATCATTTAGCTCGATTCTCATTGGAAGGCCTCGCGGTTAAGGGGCGCATTTTATCCGATCAGTCCATAGTAGCTTCGGTTTTACTGGTCAATTGTCTGTTGGATGATATGAGGAAAGGAAGGGAAGGCAAACTGAATAGGCTGATTGAGAGGTAAGCGATTTTTCAAGCCCGAACAGTTTGGGAAAGTGTCCGCGAAAATTATTCACTTGCAGTTTGGTAGAAGCTTCGGTTGTAATAAGTGTTGGAAGTATGTCAGAATATTCGGACAATATTTTGCGCGTGATTTCCGGCTGTGGAACATTCCATTGTTGTTTGTTTAAATAATCAAAAAAGGTGCGAAAAATAGTTTTTTGCACATTTCTTTTGACCCGTTAATGCTATTGAAAAAAAGGTTAATACTTTTTTTTGAAGTATTCAAAATGCCTACAATATGAGAAAGTAAATTAAAATCCGCTCATTAATTTACTCAAAAAATGCCAATTTTAAGGTTTTTTTAGTTTCCTATAATTAATTTAGTTTTGCCTCTAAAAAAAGGTCTTTGTACACTTTATAAGTGGGATAATTTTAGCTTAAAAYATTCTAAACTTTTTGTTCATTCCTATTTTGTTATGAAAAAAGGCTTTTGCTARATTCTAGAAGTTTTTTTTAGACATCGAACATACTTTTCTGAGCGTCTATTCTACTCGTAAAGAGGAAGACTACTTCCTCGAASTACAACGCACAATAAACGAAAAGTTCATTACTGAAGGGTAAATCGTTTAAACATTTAGTTGAAAATCAGGAATTTTTAATGTTAAAAGTAAAAAAACGGGAGTAAATTATTTTGAGGTGAAATTTTCGCATTAATTGCCATGATTCTTTTGCCCATAGCAAATTTTCCTTGGGCTTYCTCACAARATTAGGGTCTACTATAATAAGAGAAWAATTTAATTAAAATCCGTTCATTAATTTACTGAAAAAATGCCTATTTTAAGTTTTTTTTTTTAGTTTTCTGTAATTAATTTAGTTTTGCCTCTAAAAAAGGTYTTTGTACACTTTATAAGTGGAATAATTTTAGCTTAAAATATTCYAAACGTTTTGTTAATTTCTATTTGTTACGAAAAATGGCTTTTGCTAGATTCTAGAAGTTTTTTAGACGTCGAACATACTTCTCTAAGCGTCTCTTACTCGAACTACAACGCCCAATAAACGAAAAGTTCATTACTAAAGGGTAAATTGTGGTTCAAGTGAAATTTCTGCATTAATTTCTCTTTTGCCCATAGCAAGTTTCCCTTGGCCTCACMAAATTACTTTCAATTGGTTTAAGGGGGGCGTCTTCGGTTCACTGCCAAAAAACAGCCCCACGGTAACAAAAATTACGTGCTGGGTATGTCTTGATTACCATACCCAACGCGCCCAATAAGGACACGTTTACCATAAGGAGGCAAGCACCCTTTTGGCTGTAAAATTTTTGAGGAGCCCTTGTCTTTCTTCGGTTCAACTCCACATGTGCTAGATGGAGATTGCATCGACCTCTCACAAATTTTCATGATACTAAAATCTGAAACTGTTGACTAAATGGTGGGTTCAGTTCTTGCACTCATTCGCATTAACCATTCTGGCGCAGGACGACGATATGTTGTTGTTTAATCAATATTTTTTTTATACTTATAAAAACTACTAGATAAATTAACCACTTTTTAAAACTATTTTTACTGAATTATATTAAACGTGAATCGAACTTATAATTTGGATATTAACAGTTTTGCTTTTAAAAATAAGTGCGATGGCAATTTATCATTCTTTAATTGAAATGAAACGCTTTCGCGGGCGAAAAAGCCCTAACTCATTTTAGGAGCCAAGTTTTCTTTCAATCCAAAGCAAAAAAAATCCTCCATTATACAGGGTGTTCAGATAAGGGTAAAGTTCGTAGCTCGACCGCTAGAGGCCGTAACTTCTACCACAAAACAAAAACTTTTGGTATTCGCGAGTTCAACTACCGATAGGAGCGCTGCGAAATGTAAAATTACTCGTTGTCGAGTGACAGTTGAGACTTGTCAGATTTGTTGGAGTTGATGATATTTATAACATAAAACAATACAATCAATCGATCTGTTTCTATTTCTTTAAAAGCTTGCAAAAGTTGATTAGAACAAAACATATCACAATCAGATTAAACACCAATGTCAACAAAACAAGTGTCAAATTACTACTTAACTTGTAATTATAATTTTGGCCACCAGAGGGCGTCTAGACTTTTGAACTCTCAAATCTCGGGAAAGGGTGGGGAGCTGAGCTATAACTTTAAAAACGTTGATAGTTTGGATAATACTGCATCGTTTATTTTTTTATATTTTTTTGTACCTTTTATAATAAAAGACGGGGAGGCCAATGCAGTTTTCAATATGTCCTGAAGTACTTATTTACGATGCCACTATTTTTGCACTATAATTTGAAAGAGCATTTTAATATCTTTTAAAAGAATTTTAATATCTTTTGTAATTTTTGGAAAATCGTTAAATAAATTTGGCATGCCCTTTCAGTGAAAACCACATCGTTATATCTCCAGTGGTTCTCGAATAGGGTGTTTTCATTGTATCAAAAATTCCTACCAACTGAACATTAATCTATGGTAATATACCATTTTTATACTATCTATCTATTGCTATTTTGTTAAATATTTAATAAACAAATTCAGCTAAAATTCAAACTATTCATGAATGTCTAAAACGCAATCCTATTGGTTGTGACGTCTCTGGTCATATAAATGGCGGATTGTTTACGTTCTGTGCATAGTGTTTAGTTGTGTTTCATTAATTATTTCGTGGATTTAAATAATTTATAGTTTGTGTTAAACTAAAAAATCGCTTCAGAAGGATTCCTTAAAGCGTCAACAAACAATTTACCATGTGTACATATTTTTATGGTTACCGAATTTTTAAAAAACGGCGAACGCTTTAATTTAGCCCAATTTAAGGGTGCCAAAGCAGCAGCGTAAGTAAAAATTCGTAAATTTATTATTAGTTACTATCTCCTTAATATACTAATCTGTGTGTATTGATTTAAATTAGGTAAATGATATATAGAATTTCACTTATTTAACTTAATCTAACTTATACACAGGACTGCTTTGAAAGTAAAATGAACTCTTCAATTTGTATTTTGGGCGTCACGAGAACAATATGGTGATATCGGATATGTGGGATTGAAACGCGAGGGTTCTTTGTGCACTATACAAGGTAGAATTTGCACAGAACACAGAGTACGATAGAAGGCATATTCTGTCTGCCTCATAATTAGCTTTTTGTTCGTACTTTCATTAAAATGATCCTCGCAACCAAAAACATTGATTTTGATTTAGGAACATCACGTCTAGGTGCTTTGAACCATAAAACTTTACATGCATAATCATGAGGAACGGTGAAAAAGAGTTTGTTTGGAGCACTTATTGAGGTATTCTCGCATCCTGGCACAAAACACCACTTATTTTATGATCCATACATGTCACTATTTTTCATTATGCAAGACAATAATAACCAATAAAATAATGATAATCACAAAAACTTATATAATAAAACAAAGCTGCGAAAACAACAAAATAAATACGAGACACTTTGTTGATATGACCTGCTACGTCACAATCCGGACGTTTGTGCTAACCGACGATGCGGATTCGGCGTTTATGGCGGAAAATATCTGATTTGAATTTAAATTCGCTTTAAAATTATTATGGAGACATTTTTTGCCAAAAAAATTATATCAGTGTAATGTTTGCCATAACTGCTTTCTATATATCAACATTAAAAAAAGTGAAAACACCCTATTATAGAAGAAAATGTAATTTTTTCAAACATTTTATTACAAATAGTTTTGGCTATATTTAGGCGTTGTATAATCTTTTCTACCTGGTCGATGCTATCTGCTATAACGATTATGTCGTCCGCAAATCTGCGATGACAGAGGGATTTTCCATTTATGTTAATGCCTAGGTGTTGCAGACCAATAGATTTAAACAAGTATTCGCGTAAGTTAGTAGAAAGTCATGGGGATATTGTATCATCCTGTCGAACACCTTTGGCTATTTTAAATATTCCCGTATCGTTGTGGAGTCGGACAGATGCTGTGGCTTTTCTGTATATGTGTCTGATGATATTGGTAGACCGATGAGTTTTACGGCAATCAGCTAATGATTGTAGGATTTCATGTTGGTCCAAAAAGTCGCCTCCTTCTCATCATCTACGAATATTAGGACCAGTGGCTTGTTATCATTTTTTTTCTGAGGTTTTTTTGGGTTTGGAGGTGGTCGTTTGTGCCAAACCCGGCAAAAACGGGGTGGCATAAGTTCGATCAATAACCCTGTACATATGTTATGTGCAGCATTAGCAATGACAACCTGAAAGTGCCCAACATGTTTCCTCTTCAAGCTGCTGATGCTCCTAAAAAGGGCAATCTTCTAAAAACAAGGAAAAATACTTTGGTTTACCCATTCATTATTAATTTTATGCGGTTATTTTGAAAAACGTTATAGATTTTATTTAATTTTACAATTTCCAGATCGCTTAGTGAAGATTCACTATCAGTGGCGTCTTCGGATTCCGGCATTCCCCCTCGAAGCATGATTGATGTTACCTATCAGCAAACTGGAAACGATATGTTTGCTGATATTCGAATTTTCAGTTTCACCCTGATTTTATCAGTAGAATATCTGATGAAAATTGCCGAATTTTTCTCCAATCCTGCCGATCAGCAAACTTCCGTCGCCCCAGTTGGACACAAAAGCGTAAAAAATACCAACAACGCAGGTAAAATAAAAAGTACACATTTCTTATTGGGTTCCAATATTTTGCATTTTGCTGTTAGTCACTCCAAAACCGAGCCGTACCAGCCGCAGCTCACAATCCGTAGAAGCAACAAATCCCTCCAGCCAAATAACACTTAACTTAAAGGTTGAGCAACCCGATATCATCCTGGTAGAGCACATGGATAATATCGATTCAAAGGCGATGATTCTTAACAGCGAGATTGTGGTAAAGTTGCGAATGAGTGGGGAACATCAAGTCATTAATGGGGTAATTAAGGATTTGCAATTGTATACTTGCAACTATAATCCGGCCAAAAGAGCCGAGACGAAAGTAAGTGGAAAACAGCCCTAAACAACCGCCTAGAGGGTTCATTTCATGGTTTTGTAGGGAAACGTTTTACATCCCGTAACGATAAGTTTGGCAGGCAGCACGCCCGTAGGCAAAGGATTACATTTGGAGCTGCTGGTCGAGGAGGTGCTTTTAAGAGTCTCCCCTGCAACCATTGAGCTGCTAAACAGGTAAACATTAAATGCATACACTGAAAAGTATCGGTAGTTGATTATCATTTTCAGCGTTTTGGTAACAATGTCCAAGAGTCCAACTTCGGATGAAGCTGAGGAGGAAGAGCAGTTTAATTTCGCCTCACTGTGGGAGCAGAAAAGCTTCCGAGAAAGCGATTTCTGGTTTTTAAAAGGCGACGATGCATTAGAGGCTACAGAAGATTCAATAGTAGGACAACCAGTGCCAAAGACCATTCTTCAGGAACTTTGCATCATTTCCATGCCGTCCATTGTCATCACTCTGGAGGCCGGTGTGGCCAACAAAACGTTACCATTCTTGCTCTTCGAAACTTCGTTGAAAGGTTGCGCGAAAAATTGGGCTTCTCAGTTGGGCAAGTTTTAAGCAATGCTGACTGATCGCATGCCATGGCTAACTTTCACATTTATTCCTCAGGTGTTGAGGCTACAGTCACAGTCCTAATGGGTTACTACAACAGCAGACTCGCATTGTGGGAGCCGTTAATCGAACCGGTGGAAAGAAAACAGGGCGAGTATTTGGCATTCGAACCATGGGATTTGAAATTGGAACTTTCAATGAATGAGCCGGATGATCCGCTGAATTTCAGCAGCCCACTTTCTGAAGCAGGAGAGGTAAGAGTGAAGAATGTTACAATGCAGCTAAACTGTTAAATGATGTGCATGTTTGCTTAATTGTTTTCTGAAGGTGGAAGTAGCAAAAACCCAGTCGCCGGTGATGAGTATCGATGTAACTTCAGAAAAATCTCTAGAGCTGACAATGACAAAAACTTGCCTGGAAGTACTGACGAATTTAGGAAAAGCATTTGCGTCTGCAATGAAGCCTGAAAAAGTTGTTTCAAGCACCATTTTATCGCCTTACAAGTGAGTTTAATACCGGTATGTTTAGTCGATCTTCGGAAGTTTGCCGTTTAAAAAGTCAGGGCTGGAACGCCGTCAAAGGCAGAAAATATAAGCGCTTTCCACTGCGGTTAGTTGTCTCGAAGGATAAGATATTGCATAAATATTACAAGAAGAAGTTGGTGTGTACACACTGGATGAAATTCAATCGGTCATGTTAATGTAATGAAGTGTGTATGTACGTATAATTATGAAATCCGTTCAACCCTTTAAAAATAGGAGAAAAAGAGATTTCACTCGGTAACCATCTCAAGAGTGATCACTCAAGTGTTTTTTTCATATTTTATTTCAGTCAAACGGTCAGGATGTTATGAGACTGATCCATTCTTGAGCATAATATTGTCCCCCTTTCTCTTCACGAGGCCTTTTGTTTTGCTCTTGGGGCTTTGATTAATGTTTCCGATTACCTGTGACTACCCAGGCCAGTCGCCAAACCCTCTCATTGCCTTTTAATTTAATTCCATTTAATTAAGGAACCTTTCATTCAAGGAAGATATATATTTATATTTATTTATTTAATTTTATATATTTTTTGGAGCATCTGGAATTTGTTGAGTATTCAGTATTTCGCACTAACGAAGAATGGTGATAAAAATTCACTTTGTCAGCCAAATGTGGAGTGTTTGCCCGATGCTTTTGAGCTAGCTTTACCAGACTGGTCGCCATACTGTTAAGGCCTACTAGTCAAGTTCTTTTAATCTTAATTTGTTTAATTTTAACTTTAGTCTGTTTTCTCGTAAGTTTGTCATATACAATTTTAGCACTTTGGACCATTTCTGACCATTGTTTTTGCATGTTCGGTTCGGTTCGCTTGTAATTTGACGAGTAAATTTTGTTTCCTTTTACTTTGTTTTGTCTGCGTGATATCCTCCAGGTTGCTTACTGTTACAGTAACAGTAAATGTCTAGCATCGCTAAGTGACTAGAAAACAGACCTATTTTTTTACGCAAAAACTATGAATGCTACAAGATTTTACAAAGAGCACAAAATTATGAACAAATAAATAGTGCATCAACCTAAAAAAAATGAATTGATTTCATCCCCCAACTGAAAAGTTCTGGTAGTTTTTGTACCACGACATTTTTTTTCACACAGTTTTTGTACCACCCGAAGAATTCACCATTTGTCCAAAACGGCTGAACTCGATTGTTTTATCAAAATATGAGTCTTACATACGAACAAATCCACAGCGAGTTTTACTAAAACACATCGTACCATTCTCCCGAAATTTCAAAAAGATACATTTTTTGAAGAACTTTGACCATCAATAGCAGAGGAGCCAGACATTTTTTTTAAATAAAAGTTAGGTCAGATCGTCTTCTTTCAACGCAAAGAATATCACAGCATCCTTTTGATCATGTGCTTACGGGACACCCTGTATATTTAAAGAAGTTGAGAACTTTCGCTCACAAAATAGCTTATATAATAGGCGCATTGTAAAAGATCGACTAAATATACCGTCCTAAATATTAATTGATGTCCAGTGAGACAAAGTCCCAAAGATAGCGGATGTTTCGCTTCGTTGCCTAACTTGCCAATAAAAAAATACATCGATTTTCAGAGTGTTGAATGAGATTGGCGAAGACATAACGCTCCTTTTAGAAGACAGCTCCTTTAAAATAGCTGAAGGTGGATCGTTGGAAGATATTAACCGATCTGCAGCAGTTCCTCTTGTGTTGAAATCGACTCCACCCACTGCGATTCAGTTAGGTATTTAGTTCCTTTCAATGTTTTCAGCCCGTTTATCGCTACTGAAATCATTTTAGGCAAGGAACTGAATAGGAATGCACAGGAAATAAATTATTTCTTGCAAATACAAGTGAACAAAACAAACTGCCAACTCAGTCTACCAGTTATTAGGGCTGATAAGAGGTTTTTCATGTTAAATTATGTGAAGGATAATAACAACTGGGGGCTAATCTCTGATGTGAAAGTAGACGAAGGAGTCACTTTGGTCACTCTCAGGAGCATTTTGCAGGTAGGTAATCCATTGCAAGATTTTTTTAATAGTTGGTAGTAGTAATGAGTGGTTTTTAGGTTTATAATCACTTTTCGGTCCCTGTGGAAGTATATTACATGACGGTTCGAGGCAATGAGCTCGAACTAGTCGGCTCAGTGGAACCGAATGGAACCCTAAATCTTCCTCTTAAAGCAGTGTATACGCCCACAAGCGAGCTGTTTTTCGGCATATCGGGATATTCAGTTACAACCAGTCCTTATATTTGGAAAAATTTGCAAACCAACATGAACATAGTGAAAATTCTGCAATGTCCAGTGGTTCAGACCTCTGTAGACTCCGATAAAAGTCCCTTCTTGATAAAAGCCATTGGCGAAATGGAACAGGTGAGCACATCTGACTTTTGGGCGGCCAGAATGATTGAAAACGTGTCTTTAGGTCTACTATGAAAACACCACTCGACATACCATGGCCAGCACATGTTACAACATCCACTTGAGACCGGCTGCCATATTTAAGAATTTCTTGCCCTTGACTATTATCGTATGCGTGGATGAGTTAGCAGAGGAGATCGAGGTAAAAAAGCCTTGATTTTATCCTACAACTCTCCAGCTAGAGCTAGATTGTTTTAGTTTATATTGTTAATTAATTCTGATTTATTTTCCTGACTGCGTGTACTTGTTATGATATTCTTATCTTTCCTGGGTCTCAGTCAAAGTGTGAAGTAAAAATTTTGAACATCGWTTATTTCATTACGTTTCGGCGWGACAACAGAGCCATCATCAGATTTAAAATTTACACAAATTAAACAATTAAAACATSTTGTATAAAAACTGTAAATTACAAAGTGTTAAAACATTCATCAGTTTTTGAGGGAAAAAATCCTTCCTTTTGAGAGAGCAAAACACCGGAAAAACTTACCTCCTGATTGGTAAAAATAGATATAAGATAAGAATATCATAGCAATTATTAATTAACTATGATTTTTTGAATTGTTATTCTGCATGTTTCAGGTCAAGGCTGGGGACACTTTACAGTTACCAAATGTCGATCCAGGAAAAAGTGTCATTGTAGTCAGAGTAAGCGATTGATCCCACTCTGATGCTAAGGGAGATACTATTTTCCATATATTCCTTGTTTTTAGCTGCCAGAGTATCTCGAAAAGGAATGGTCGTGCCGGAAGGAGACGGAAGAATCCCCCGCCGAGTTTCAAGTTTGGACTTTCCACAGTTACGATAGTCCCACAAAAATGACTCTGGACTTGGGAATGCACGCAATTGACAAGAACGGCTCGTTTATCTATTCTTTGTACTGTCCATTCTGGATGCTGAATAAAACAGGACTCATGATAGGGTACAGGGTGAGTGTCGGGTAGGCAGAATATAAATAAATACTAGCGCCGTCTCGTTATGTGCAATTTGTCATAATGTACATTCATCAAGCTATAAATGTGTGAACATTTTACAGAAGTCCAAGAAAACTGAGAAGAATGAAGCGATAGGAAGCCCCACAAAGGTATCATCTACAACTCAGCCTGGTTATGTTTGTTTTTGTTTAATCAGGCAATGCTGTGTGACGGGGAAAATAGCGTTCAAATTAAACAATTTTCCTGAATGCGATTCGATTATGTTTTTGTGCTCATTCACGTTTTGCATGTTAGTTCACAGTCTGAAGTAACTAATGTTGGCGGCAGGCATCTTTACATTTAGCTTTTAAAATTGGGGACAGATTTAATCTCAGTTATCTTTACATGCCAATGGCTAGCACTCGACAGCAAATCTGAGAATGGATCTGCTCGAATTGTTTTGTTTTGACGGCAGCTTTTAAATATTTGTTCCAAAATCTGGCGGGTTTCATTTTTGTCTCGCACTTGCAGAGCTCTGATGAAAACCTCAACGTCCTTCACCATCCAGCCGACTTTAAAGGCCCGATTTTGTTCTCGTTCAATCCACGAAACTTTTTCGGCAAGAAAAAGGCGTCAATAAGGGTGGAATCTGGCGATTGGTCCGATAAATTTTCACTGGACGTAGCTGGATCATCTGGTGTTGTTCAATGCAGATCCAATGATAAAATTTATCAGGTAGCGTATGTTTAATTCAGTGCTTGGCATGATTTTTGCTGATTTTCTTTGGCCTCTAATATTTGTAGATCGGAGTGCATAATCAACTGACTTACAGCAATCTCACCAAGCAAGTAACGTTTACTCCGTATTATGTGATTATTAATGAAGCCCCATTTGCGATCGAATGCCAAGAGAGTGATAGACCTGCCGATCAATGGACGCTGATAGAGCCGAAGTCTTGTTCAGGTAGTTTATTATTCACTTCTACTGCTGAGCGTTAATATCTCGAAATCTCCTTACTATAGAGGTGTAATTTACTATGTACTCCAAAGCGCAAATACATCAATAACTTCCTCAAGTGTAGAGTATTGACTGCTTTTTCAGATCATTTGAAGATTATCAATTATTTCTATTAGTATTAATAAACTGTTTTAGCTTTATGGCCTAAAAGTGAAATGGAGGACAAGTTGCTGAAATTGCGAATTGTTGGTACTAGTGAAATAAGTGCCCCTTTTCTGTACACTGAGAGCCATACAACTTTGTTGAAGCTGAGTAATAAGGTATTTTGCTGAAATTTGTTGAAATTGAACTAGCAGATGATTTTTGGGCATTTTAGTATGGAGGAGTGAATGTAGACATACAACTGAACGAAGGGGCAGTGTATGTAAGCCTGGCACCATACGCAGTGGGCTGCGCCCCAGCTTTAATCATAAATCATACTACGCAAGATTTTAATTTCTGGGAAAAACAATCGGTGCAAATCAGGTAAGTTGGATATTCTAAAAGGAGTTCACTCGATTCTTTAACTGTTGTGTTCTAGATCTCTTAAACCCAATGGATATGTCTACTACACATGGGAAAATCCTTCAGGACCCCGAACCCTGGTGTGGGAAAAAAGCCCCAAAGTCGAGATAGAAAACGATCTTCGTAAAGATGATTGCGGTAGTTTCCATGTTGCACATCAGGAGGTGTTTTGGTAAAAGCTCATTGAAGAAACCCTAGTAAATTGTGTCGTTCTTCCACTGTCTTGTTTCAGGTCTTCATTTTTAGATGGAATGCAAAGGGTGATACTGTTCACCGAGTGCAGAAACCTGGCCGAAAATGCCACAAATATTTTCGAAATTATTCAGCAAGAAATTACGTTATCTTTGCACGGCTTTGGACTGTCGCTAGTCAACAATTTAACCAGACAGGAAATTATGTATATCGGTATAGCCAGCAGCGGTATAATATGGGAAACTTGCAAGTTGGACAGGAGGCGCTTTAAACCTCTGGGTAGGAGTAGCAAATTGTTATTAACATTTAGCCAATGGCACTAAAAAGAAAAAAGTTGGCAATTAATGGTAGTCATTTGTGAAGCTCTTGGTCGCTTTAAGGTCTTTTTCGCTGGTCAGTTCAGTTTTACCTTCATCTTCAGTTTCAGTACAGTTGATAGTTTTTTCAAGAAAGAAAATATGCAAATGGACCAAAGACTGGCTCCTAAAGAACTTCTTAGTCATTAAGGAACCGAAACAAGTTATAATGCCACAAAGATGGTTCGTATACTTCGCCACTTCCGGCTGCACTTTTATCCGACTCTTTAACGTTGTTAACTTCTTTATTGTAAGCTGAACGCAGGCTATTAATTTCTGCTTTTACCGTTCTCATTTTCGTAGTAAAAAAGTCGCATTTTTATCACACTTCCAATTTCTTCAACAAAATCTTGTAACATGCCTCTTGTTTGTGACTGTTATGGTACTGCGAGTACTTTTTTCCCAAGCGTGGGTATATTTCATGAAGCTGAATAAACTCCTGTACGAAGTCGTGTTGAGACATTGCGTGAGATACGTCTGACCAGGCTACTCAGAATACTGAGATATGAACAGACAGCTTTGGCTTATTTACACATAATTTTAACTGATCTGATACACAAACTGTTGGCAAACCCATCGAGCTACAACTCTTTTTCCGTAATTTTTTTTGGGTTTAAACATACAGATTACTGGCAACTGCACTGAAACTGAACGTAAAATTGAACTAAACGTCTAAGGACCTTTAAGGACTTTTAGCAAATAAAAAATATGTGTTACGATAGCTAGGCCGCTTTAAGCGTGCAAAGAGTATAGCCTGAAGTATAAAATATTTTTTATAAAATTAAGTGTTTGCCTCTTTAGGGTCAGATCCAAAACAGAGAAAGAAAGCTTAATCATTTTGTATAAACAAACTTTGTAAGTGGATAAATGCTGAATGCTTCGAGCGATTTGGTTTCTGTTTGAAGCCTCTTCTAGGCTGATTTGCTTTTTGTTCGTCAATGTTTTGGTAAAAATTAAGCAAGTCAGATATATTTCCTACAGGGTGGCAAATGAAAAAAGGCACAATTTCGGAAAGTTTAGCATGCTCCTAGTTGGCCAAAAAAGGTTTTTTGGATCTCAACACCAAAAGTTTAAAGGTGAACAAAATAGCTCGAAACGTTTTAGAATTTTTCGTCTATCTGTTCCGATCTACAGGGTGGTCTCAGAAAATCAACGTTTTGGTTTCGCAGCTATAACTTTTCTTTGGTCTGAGTTTCACGATCTAGAGCAGGATGTCGAAGCTTCATAGACGATTTTAGACGAAAATTTAATATACAGAGTTGCACCAAAAATTACCCAAATCAGAATTGCCCCAGAAATCTGTCATTCTGAAAGATTTTTCAACTAAGAGAAGTTTACTTCGAATATTTTATTCATTCATGCAACCTGATATATTGAGTTGTTATTTTCTCACGTCCGCTGTGAATTTTCTTCCACGTAAACCCTAGAGTTTGAAAATGGGTTTAAGAGAAAAAATCACTATTTCTTTCTTTCCTTGACTCTCTTGGGGATTCGGTCTGGGCATTGGTGTAGAAGAAAAATAAAAACTTTCTTAGCTACCTAGCTTTCGGCGATTTACGCCCGCCTTCTTCAGGGTGCTAATTGTTTGACCATAAGAAGGCCGGGAACCCTCCAAAATATTCATACTATATTCATTGTTACAACCTGTTGAAATGTTGTTCCTCGCTTTCATCGTATTACGAGGGGGGCGAAACCATTGTGACAATTGTGCAATGGAATCACATTATTTGATCATAATTTGTCATGGATTAATATTATTTAATTAAGCATTTATTCACGATTAACATGTTTTCTGCAGAAATAACGGGACAGACTGAATGCAAATTAATGATGAGCTGAAGGCCCTGTGCACCCTTTTATTTGTAAACCGTGCTCTGATTCGGCCTTTATCTGTTATTTCCTTTTTAAGGATGTATTCGAAATCTGTTCAAAGCCTTTTGCATGTGGTTTGGATTCATGTTGTTGTTAAGATTTAGAAACTTTCTTTTGGTTTTTTTCCTGACAGACCTAAATGGCCAAACATTAAACATCAAGGTAGGAAGCCTTAGGAACAAACGAATCTTCCTGTTACGATGCAGGAAAGATAACAAAACGCCTAGACACATAGCCGATGGCACCTCGAACATCGACACTCTTGTAGCATGTTATTCCGTTATAATTTCCTGCTCGTTTGCAATTAGGGTACCATCATCCTTCTTCAGGATATTTCCTGTTCTTGGTCTGAATCCCGATTTGTCTTTTGCTTCAGGAGGACACTTCCTAAAGAATTCCTTTAATTTATTGCCTCTGAAATTGGTTTCCAATTCTTCTAGCATTTGTTGTTCATGTTTCCTTTTCTTTGCCCTTATTAGTATTATGGCGCCCCTTTTTATTTCGCTGATATATCTTCTGTTTGTCCCATTGGGCTCTTGTATTGTTAACATTCTGGCTTTTTCTCTCTGTTCCAATACCCTCCGACAGTCATCGTCGAACCAGTTCTTATGCTTCTTCTTTTGTGTTGGACCCAGCATTTTCTTCACAGCATTAGATATTGATCGCTCTATTAAAAAACTATCGCTGCAACACCAAAAAGTTGATTTTTATGACATATAGGTAAACGAGATGAGCGGAAAATTGAAAAGCGTTTTTCGATGTATGTGGTCTATATTAATGCTTATGATGTTGAAATTCAAAAAATTGTTTTTTTGTCCAACTGAAACCACGCGGAACTCACCAATTTTGCATTGTTTTATTTTCCACCATGTAGGAAATTTATATTAAGCACGTTTTTTTGCAAAAACACACTAACCGAAAACGAATTGCACTAAATAACGCTTTGATCAGAAATTATGTCGCTCTAAGCAGTTCTAAAATTAGTCCAAATTATCCAAAAGTTTTTCAGTTAGTTTCCCAAATTCCTTACCTCTAAGGAGAAGCAGAAGTATAAACGGTAAAAATATAACGTTGAATTTGAAAAATGTTATTTATCTCGGTTTGATCTGATCTCATAATGATAATTAATTAATAATAACTGTTCCGATAGAATTTTTCCAAAGCTCATAGGGAAAAAACCCAATAGGGGAAAATAAAAGGAAATTCTTGTTTCAAAGAAAGAGTTAAATTTTTAAACCCTTAGTGGTTATTGGCAAACATTTTATGGACTCAATTTCACCGAGTTTCACTCGACCGCTCTCGGCATCTCTTTCGGTGCTATTTAGCACGCATGTAAGGATCTTTATTTACCTCTAAACCCTGTATATGGAATTAAGTGGTTTTAAAGAAATTAAAAGGTTTATTTGAGATTGGTTTGAGTACAAACGCAACATGGACGAGTTTTGTCGCCATTGTGTCTTTCGTGATTTAAAAATAGTCAACAGCGAAAAACCTGGTAATTTTTCTGATAGATTCTAAAGTAAAACTGTGTGTGAAACTCGCCAACCGCTTTACGCTTAATATTATTTTTATGTTCCCATTTTAGTCGTTTCCTCCTACACAAAATAACGCAATTGGATTAAGAAGGAAAAAGTAAAATAAATAAAATTTGAAACTTTCAAACGAAAAATTAATATTTGGACTAATTGTGAAAACGAGTTGATTTGAGTATCCAGTATAAGGCGAATTTTATCGCTCCGAAAAATCCCTCTTTTGTGTTCCTTTGGGAAAACCTTTAAATAATAACGGGTTCTCAAGGGCCGGCGGTTTAGCGGAAAAAAGTCACAATTAAAGCGCACTCTTAACAGTACTAAGATCATCGATGCCAGAATAGTAAATAATGTAAGATTTTATTGGAGTTTTTTTCTTCGTGATATTTCCCATGTTATTCAAAATTCCTGTTAGTGACCTTATCAAGTGCAACAAAAATTCCTAAAATATTATAATTTTCTAAACTTTGAAAACTTGATGGTTGTATTTTGGCCTCAAAATTTTGTGTTTTCGTTAAAAAAAAACATTATCGGCACTGCTAGTTGGCTCAAAACAGAGATGATCATCAAATACATAGTAAATTTTAATCAATAATTTTTTCCTGGCTTTGGATACCTAGAACTAATCTAAGACCAAGAGATTGTTCAAAAATTTTAGTGGAAAATTGATTTTTAGGCTCTAAAGAATCAACGCACATAGAAAACGCCTACCAACATTACTTGCAACAAGCTAGTTCAACCGCTTCTACCAGTGGCACAATTCTAGTCGACAATAAAATCGAGGTGGACTTCGAATTACAACAAATCTATAAGCCAAAGAAGAGGAAAATTAGGTACGTTTCTCAACCAATTTAGTGGCTGTTTGTATCTTTTTGGTTTGCTGCAGGAGAACATTCCAAACTGGTGTGTGGCTTAATATGAAAACTAGCCCCAGTCAAATGCAACTGCATGCGAAAATCAATAGAGTGCAAATTGATAATCAAATGTATGACTGTATATTCCCGGTAGTTTTAGCGCCAGTGCCGCCGCCTAAAAGTGTAGCTATCGACAGTGGTAAATTAAAAAAAAAATTACATTGAGAACACAGGCTTAAAAATGATGTCGTTGTTTCCAGGTATAAAGCCTTTTGTTGAGGTCAGTATCGTTCAGCTGCTAATCAAAAACAGCCAAATCAGGCAGTTTAAATACTTCAAAGTGCTGGTGCAAGAATTTCACATTAAGGTGGATTTGGGCTTTGTGAACGCCATTGTCGATATGATGCAGCAGAGCGAGAACTCCGACGAAGAAGATGTAAGTTTTCCTTTTCGTTTCAAGCAAAGTGTGCCAAATTATCAACGTTTTCAGAGGCAGTTGTTCGAGAAGGACATTAATCTAGTCGACCAGGCACTGTATTCCCACGCTGCTAGTCAAGCATTGCAGGGGCAGAAAAGTTTCTACGATTTGTTGCACTTCTCGCCATTAAAGATACATGTTTCGTTCTCCTTAGCGGCAGGAACGTCGGCTGGGCAAAGTGCTTCAACGCCCAACTTCCTCAACGTACTCTTGCAAGGCGTGGGGGTAACGTTGACTGATCTACAAGACGTTGTTTTCAAGTGAGTCTCAATCTCCAAAGCCAACACCCTTTATCAATGACATTCTAGACTGTCCTTCTTCGAGCGAGACTACATCTTCCTGAACCAAAAGCAGCTGACCAGCGAAGTGACCAGTCATTACGTTGGCCAGTTCATCAAACAGCTGTACGTGCTCGTACTCGGCCTGGACGTGATTGGAAATCCTTATGGCTTAGTTATTGGAATCTCGAAGGGTGTGGAAGATTTGTTTTACGAACCTTTCCAAGGCGCCATCCAAGGACCCAGCGAATTTGCGGAAGGATTAGCTTTAGGTCAGTTCTTAACCGCTTTGCTGGCGTTGCTCTAATGGCAAATTCTAGGTGTTAAAAGTCTCTTTGGTCATACCGTTGGCGGAGTGATGGGCGCCGCTACTCGAATAACCGGGGCGATGGGCAAAGGGCTTGCGGCTTTAACTTTCGACGAAGATTTCCAGAGAAAGAGGCGCGATCAAATGAATAAAAAACCAGCTACTGTGCAAGAGGGCTTTGCTAGAAGCGGAAAAGGATTAGTTATGGTAAATGGCAGCATTTTTAGTGGCCCCAAAAAGACTGTTTATTAATTCGTGTGTTAGGGTGTCTTTGATGGCGTCACTGGAGTATTCACAAAACCTGTGAGTGGAGCTAAAGAGCAGGGCGTGGAAGGCTTCTTCAAAGGACTGGGCAAAGGGGCAGTGGGGCTAGTAGCCAGACCGGCAGCTGGTTTAGTCGATTTTGCCAGCGGCTCATTAAATGTGGTTAAACGGTAAGGATTTCTCTCATCCGCTACGAATAAGGAGCTAGTCTAAATAATTTTTTTACAGAGTAACTGAATTCGGCGAAGACACCGTACGGCTACGGCCACCCCGCTTTTTGCAAGCCGATGGCTTAGTCCGGCCATATAACTCTTTGGAAGCGGAAGGACACAAGTTGCTGATGGAGTTGAGCAAGGGGAAATATGCCACTACGGATATTTACGTGTACCACAGAGTAATGATTGGAAACAAAGAGATTCTGCTGTTAACCGATCAACGGATAGCCTATGTTGAGCATAATGATGTTTTCGGTGGATGGCAGGTAATCTGTTCTATTTTATTTTTATTATGACCGTATGTTTTTTATTTGCATTAATCAGTAATCGTTTTCTAGTAGATTTTATTTCGTTTTTGTGTACAGTTTTGAATTTTTTTCTGAAATGATGTGGGACCTTTTTAAATTAACTTTGATGCTTTACATGCTTGAAACTGAATTCTGTTGAACGCGTGTCGGGCTTCCTCAGACCATATTTACTTTCACTGAACCAAAATTTTTGTTTTTTTTTAAATAAATCTACCCAATTTCCTATAAAAGTTCTGAAAATTCTAGTACATTGCCACGGAGTTTCCGTGAAACACAATTTGTTTTAAAGAAAATAGTGAAATATAATCAAATGTCACTAATATTAAATCTGAGATCAAATCAGATGGAGATACGTAGAAATTTCCGAAAAAAAATCAGGGAAGTAAACAAAAATGCTTTTTTAGGGTAGACTTTCATATGATGAATTTCATATGAAACTGTCTTTCGTATGTTTTGTGAATTTTTCTTTGTTGGACGTGCATCTAATTTTGATCCTTTCAATTTTTTCCGAATCGCATAAAATTAAGTTCTTTATTACCGAAATTATGTTGTGTGAAACTATCACGGCTCGATTTTTCTGGTTTATTATTAGTACGACGTTTATAGCGAAATGCTCGACTTTAAACCCACGTCTAAACAGCCGACAAAAATCAAAATTACGTGCGATTTCAAAGAAAGTTTACAATGTTCAGACGCAATTATCACGAAGCAAGAACTGAAATTGATCGATTTATTGGTTTTAATTACAGTTTACAACAACTTTGCAACTTTGCATTATAGATATAAAAATAATGTAGTAAACTTATTTGATGTTTCATATATTTCATATATATATATATTACCATAGATTAATGTTCAGTTTGTAGGAATTTTTGATACAATGATAACACCCTATTGAAGTACTGATTAATTGATATTGTAGATTGATTGGTCTTATACTTGGCAAGACCTGAAACATCCCGCCAAAGTGGTTCCTAAAGGCGTAGTTATAACTACGGATGGAAAGAAAAAATCCATGTTTGGATCAAGTAGTACAGTGAAAACTATTTTAATAGGGGACGCAGCAGTGAAGGAGGAACTCTGCAGGAAAATAGAGGAACTCCGGGGCGCCTAAATGTTGCACCACAACTAAACAAACAAATACGTCTAAAAAAAACATATAAAGTATTTTGCTAACACGTTAATATCAGAGCTAGTTAACGAAGCTTCATGATACGGGTGCCTATAATATATTATTCGAGTTATTAGAATGCTGATTAATTTTTGTTATTGAACTCTATAGGCTGCCATCAAGTGTTCGATATCCATATTTTTACATTTCTATCTAGATTTTATAGCACTGTTTGCACTGTATAATAGTCTATTAGCAAATAAAATAATATTGTTTTTTTGAAATAGTTTTTACGATTTTTAAGCTCTTTCTTCGGTGTATCTTTATTTGTTTTGAATCAAGAACCTTTATTACATTTGCTTCTGCCACTTTTTGTGGGTTTTTGGTGATTTTGCTTTTAATATAAGAAATAGTTATTGCATTTATATTATATATGCAATACATATTTGCTGTACTTTTGAGTTTTTACTTTAATAAAGGTTGATATTTAAAATGTTTTTAAGTTAGCCTGAATATTTTACTAGTGGACAGTTGAATTATGCAACAAATTTAATACACGCGGGTATTGAAATAAAAAATTAAATATTTATTATTATTATGAAGATTGATTAGTGTTTTTCCCTTTTCCGGACACCCTGTACATATATTTTTTAAGACACTTCACTTACGAAAAGGACTTGTTCAATTCGTAATTTGATAAATTAGTATGGAAATGAAGCTAATTAGACCAACAATCACTTAATTAAGTGTAGTAGTGTAGTGAACCAAAAAATGGAATTAAGTTATTTGATTATGGAATTACAAATAAGCGAGACGGGTATAGACGTTAAATAGGACTTTAATTACATCAGAGGGAAACGCAATATAAGACAATTCCATTGAAGACCCCATAGCAACAAATTTATTAAAGATTTAAATTAATTCATAATAATTACCAATTTGTTAAAAAGATGCAGTCTTCGAATTATTAAAGCTGGGATAGTAGTCAATCAATCAATCAATATTCATAAACATAGAATTTTAAAAAAATCGCAGTTTCCTACTAGTTGATGGGCAGTAGTATGATTGGGCAGTAGTAAGCCGCATTCATCAAAGAGGCCTCGTTAGTCACTTTTGTGCCTGGTTAGACAAGGAGAGTTGCCTAGCTCTTTCAGTCTTCGTATGTGACGTCGATAAACATTCTTCATTTTTTTAAGTGTTTGTGTAAATAAAATAACACTGAAAAATTCAATTTGGAATCGCTTAGTGTTGGGCGTCTGAAGCAGTGAAGGAGATGAGTATAATTTAGATCCAGTCATCAGCTTGAAAGGTATATTCGTTAATTGGGGCCATCTTGTTTATTTTGTGAAATTGGTTAGAAAAGTATCCCCCTTGTTTGTTTCCTGTACATCCAGACAAAGGGTCTGAGATGATTCCGTTCAACGGCATAGTTTTCTTTTCGTTTTGCGTGTTTATCGGCTCGTGCTTATAACTGTCCATTTCCGGCCACCAGCATATCACACTAAACTAAGATAATGTATGCATGTAAACTGTTTAAAATTGATAGTGTAAACGATATGAGGCCCCTTATTTTCGCCGACTGTTGCCCATTGTTATCACGTTTCGTCAGTGTATTTTATATGGAATATTACTCATTTGATTGGTCACATATTCTGACTTTATTTAGCATCGATTGATTGCGGTTGATTTCAACTATTAATCTCTCTTTAATTAGTATAGTATAACCAGAGATTAGTAGACTAATCTCTGGTATAACACTGATTAAATGAAAACTTGATAAATATCCAATGTTCTACTCAATGAGTAATAACTTAACTGTTTGCCGGAGAGTGGGTTCAAGGATACAGTTTCTTATCTCTACAAACAGTATCACCAGCATTGTAGTATGACCTTTTTATTCTTTTCAAGATTTCTTTAACAGGGGAATTCTAAAACACTTCTGGATTTGGTATTTAATAATCTGCTTTTATCGTAGATCAGAGCAAAAAGGCAACAATAGACGTATAGGTCAAGTTCTCAACGTTGACTTATTAATTAATCTCTTTAAAAGCCGAAAATACAGGTAGATCTGCACTCAAGGGGAGACTATTGGTATAAAATACTGAATATTTGCTCTCCATAACAAACAATGCGCCCTAGTATTGTTTTTGTTTCATAAAACGCTAATAAATGTGTTTTTATCCCCGTTATCTTTATACCTCTAAGAATTCTATGGTGTCCTGTATACAGGGTGGCCATTTTCTGAATCTTTGTATGGGTAACTTCTACATTTTTAAAGATAGAGAATCCGTTAAATGGGCAATTGGGCAGAATTCGATTACCTATTCATTACCGTTTTCAAAATTTAGGTGCACGACTTGGTTCCTGAAATATCATGAAAATACAAGAAATCAACACTTTTAATTATCACATATTTTGTAAACTGCTTAACTTAGAAAAAAAGTTAAAACCGTCGTTGGTAGAACTTTTTGCGTTGAATCCAATAAACTAGCACTCGTTGTCATAGTCAACTTGATTTACGAGATTAAAAATAAACTTATGTTTTTTTAAATGGTAATCATAGTTGGCTGTGGGCCTCATAAAATCCTTATTTTTTCTGAACTCAACGATATAACTGTTTGTATGTTTATCTCTTCTTTTAACCGTAAGAATTCAAAAGAACATTAAAAATGTGTAGTAGGCTCTGGAAACAAGAACTATATTATCATACAAAGCACAACACAAAAATGAAACAACGAATCGTTTAAATTAAATGTTCAAATTAACTTCCGTTTACGTCCAGGCACTTTTGGCGTCTTCTAATAATTTCTAATGACACCTTTTTTATGATTTGTGGACGGATACTTCTTATTGCTGAACGTATTCCATTTACTAGCTCTTCAATATCATTGGGGTTTGTCATGAAGATCTTGTTTTTAAGGGTACCCCACAGAAAATAGTCCAGAGGTGTTAAGTCCGGTGAACGTGCTGGCCACCGATTGGGTCCTGCATTGGGAATCCAACCAGGAAAATGTTGTAAATATTCACATACAACTCGTGAGTTGTGTGGAGGTGCACCATCTGTTGAAAATATACCAACTAACAGCAATTATCCAACATGTCTTCAAATTCATTTTGTAAAAAGAGTAAATATATTTTGCTTTTAAATTGTGATTATACAAGAATGGACAAAAAATGTATCACTAAATTGCCATAATCAAATTTCTTGTTTCCAGAGCCTACGACACATTTTTAATGTTCTTTTGAATTTTATCGAATATTTATTATATTATATTGAATATTTATTTAAATTTATTTTTAATCTCGTAAATCAAGTTGACTATGACAACGGGTGCTAGCTTGTTGGCTTCACCGCAAAAAGTTCTACCAAGGGCAATTGTAACTTTTTTTCGAAGTTAAGCAGTTTACAAAATATGTGATAATTAAAAAAGTGTTGATTTCTTGTATTTTCATGATATTTCAGGAACCAAGCACCTAAATTTTGAAAACCATAATAAATAGGCAATCGATTTCTGCCCAATTTTTCCCATTTAACGGATTCTCTATCTTTAAAAATGTAGAAGTTACCCATACAAAGATTCAGAAAATGGCCACCCTGTATATCGTATCGCATCAGACGAGGAAATGGTTTATTAATGTCTGTTTTTGTAAGGAAATTTGGATTACACGTTGTGACTGTTTAAAAACAAATAATTTTTTGTAAAAAGGTGATACCTATTAAAGAGAGTCTTCATAAAGTTTGAGAGCTTTATTATTGTATTTTATACAAATAGTTATTGCTGCTATTAATCAAATTAAGTTTGATGGGCTGTAAGTCGGAAAACATTCCGATTTCGAATTTTTGCTATATGACTTACTACTATTATGTAGAATCGCCCTTAAAAATGTAATTTCCTAACGCATTTTGCGAACAACCTGTACCTAGGTAGTGTCTCGGAAAGTGTGGTCATTCTTTCGCATACCTACATACCTATGCAGGGTGTCAAAAACCATAAGGTTCAATTATTCTTTAGGTTTGGAACCTACGAAACATAAAATAGTAAAACTCGGTTATTTAGGGCCAACTGCACCGCTTTGGCTTAGAAGTTAAAAAGAACTTAATAATTTAAGTCGACTGCACCGCAGCTTA